GCCCCCCGCCCCCTCCCCTGCCCCCAGCGCCCCGGTGATCCCAGCCCCGAGCGCGAAAGGCAAACACCTGTGGCCGCGAGAAACCCCGACTCAGGCTGAGCTCCGGTTGCAAACGGTTCTCAGCACCCCGGGGTCCGGGGATCTGCAGCACCTGGTGCGAGCGTGAGCGTGGAGAGGTCGTGGTGACCATCCGGTGCGTGGTCTTGGGCATCTCCCGCTCGGGGATCTGCGGAGCCGGGAATACCGCGGCAGCCTCGGGCACCGGCCCTCCTTTCCCTGGCCCCGGAGTTATATTTGAGACACTTAATAGCCTCTCATAATCTCACCTTTCACTTTTCTTTCCTAGCCGTCACGGCTGTATCGACCTGCTATATTTCCATTGTGGAATTTTTTTTTTTTTTTTGGTCTGGTAACTTACGTAAGTTAGATTGTCGGACCAGCCATTGTAGCCATTGGAAAACATGTCTCCCAGCCCCTAAGGAATCCAGGCCTTTTAGCGCTCCCCAAATCCAGCCCAAGAATTCAGTGAGCCGTCAGTCCTTCCCAGGAGCTGACGGCACACATTCCTGTAAGATGCCTGGTGGATTTGTACTTGTCTGTGTGCTCCTCCGGTGCTTTTCCTGAAGACTGATTGGGTGGCGTGTGTTTCAACTTTCTTTCCCCTACCGGGAAATAGAAAAAAAAAAAAAAAGGTTACAGAAGCACACGTGTTTTCAACATCTAGAAAATACAGCTTTGCAAACAAAATACCAAGGGTTTGCTCTTGGCGTCCTTTATGGATCATTGTCTATTAATGTCTTCCTTCATCTTGTGGTTTGCATGTGTGTGTTTTCCCAGTCTGTCATGTTCAGAGCTTAACAGTCAGATGGGAGACTGAGGCTGTGGGCCTTTCATTTATTGACGACAGGTAGCTATAAACTTGCAGCTTTGTGAGAGCCCTGACTTTGCACTTGCTGACGGTAGTCTGGGCCTTTTCTTTCAAGATGATGTGCGAGGTGATGCCAACCATCAGTGAAGCAGAAGGCCCCCCAGGAGGAAGTGGGAGCCATGGGTCCGGCTCGCCTTCGCAGCCAGATGCAGATTCGCATTTTGAGCAGTTGATGGTGTCCATGCTGGAGGAGAAGGACCGCCTTCTTGAGACGCTGAGAGAGACCCAAGAGACACTGGCGTTAACCCAGGGGAAATTACACGAGGTTGGCCATGAAAGAGATTCCTTGCAGAGGCAGCTCAACACTGCACTTCCGCAGGTACGGATGCTCTTCCCTCTCCTGCAGCTTTACAGATTGGTGTCTGCTAAGTGGTGTCATTTCTGGGAGGTCATCTTGATGGTGTTGGTATTTTTAGATGAGTCCTTTGCATGACCATTTGTGAGTTGATGGGGTTCTGGTATTTGTAAGAGCTATAGAGCCAGGTCCTGGGGATTAAAGTTCTCAGGAAAAAAGGTTCTGCCCTTCTGAAGTCATGTGAAAACACCTCGTTACTCTTGTTCCTTTCTTCGGGGCGGCGGGAGGAACTGGATTTGGGGAGGTGCTCCCAAGTTTTTGAAAAAGGACCTTGAAACAATCAAGCTATGGGGTGCCTTTCGATCGCTCGTCTTCAGCTCTTTCTTGTTAAATGGGTATTGCCCATGGATTGTGTCATGTGTTTCTAATTAACTGATGAAATTGAATGGACAAATAGGATTGGTTTCACAGGAAAATACTTGTACAGTCTTTATCAGGACACCTGTGCGCTGTAAATGAAATTTGTTCCAGGAAATAGAAGACTGGACATTGATTCCTTTGGAACTTTCTCCTTGGCTGATGAGAATTCTAAAGCTGCAGTTGTTCATTTAAGTATGTTACGTTTGGACCAGTGTTTCAAACCCGTTGATTATGGAGCTGAATGAGGATTTAATGATAGGTGAAGGGAGAGAATGGCAACGGAATGTAAGGTAAAAGGCACAGCCTGGTGGGAGAGAGGAAAGTGACTTGGGTGTTTATGAGCTGTCTAGGTGCCGTTTTACTTATTCATAATAGCTGCCTTGATGGTGCTTTCAGGCAGCCCTGAATAGGCACACATTGATGCTTTCGTGGTGGGTCTGCAGCGCTAAATTAGTGAATGAATAATTACTGGCCTTAATGCGTTTCTTGGCTTTAGTCAGCTGTCCTGAAAGATTGATAAGTCCAACATTTGGATTTCTTTTTTAGCAGCAATAATTTAATGTTAGTGCTATGATATTTCCTTTTTTTGGATTAGAGAATCATTAAGTTTTTTCTCATTCCAGTCCTCTAAATTGCCAATTTTATTTGGGTCAGATTTTATTACCAGAAGCTTAAAAGGATTGGTCATATTATGTCTTGCCAGATTTTAGTGTATTTGTAAATCTTTTCAGTTGTATTTTTGTGTATGTGTGATTGTATTTGTTTTAATGTAATTTTGAGGTAGGTACATATACTGAAGTGTATGTCAAATACATATTTGGTGAGCTAGTTTTTTAAAGGAGCACAAGGACACAGCAGGGAAGGGACGGAGTTTTGTGCAGTACAATCTTGTACAGGGGGTTGCCGCACCAGTGGGGTGAGACAGTTGCTCAATGATTTGTTTCTAGCTACTGCGCAGGGTGGTAACCTGGAAATGCCTCATTAAGTAGAGATGGTGTCTCGCAGTCACTCACCACCTAAGCACCCGGGGCCAGCATTTCAGAAACACAGAAACCGTCAAGTAAACGTGTTTTGGACGCTTCCCTTTCTTGGCATTTATCTCCTGTTTGGTGGTTAGCAGTGTAACCAGGTAGGAGGCATATGAATCAGATAAGTACATTTGTTCTCCTGGCAGATTATGTAGGCAGGTATATACTTCAAAATTTGAATATAACACACACCAGGAAAATTCACAAATCATAAGTATACATCTCTGAGTTCTTCACAAGGTGAACATATTCTTGTAACCACCACTAGCTCAAAAAACAGAACATTTCCAAGCTTCCCAGAAGCCCCTCTTACCTGCTCCCAGTAATTGTCCCCCAGAGCTAACTATGCACGTCCCCCCACCCCAATTTTTTGGAAGGATTTTTAATTTTATTTGTTCCAGTGGTTTTCAATTTTTTTTAAACCACAGGAACTCTTTCTTCAAGAAAACTTGTATTCAGAATCCCAATATATAAAACAAGTATCAGTAGAAAATGACGGTCTTGACTTTTTTTTTTTAAATATTTTTATTGATTTCAGAGAGGAAGGGAGAGAGAGAGATGGAAACATCAATGATGAGAGAGAGTCATTGATCTGCTGCCTCCTGCACAACCCACACGGGATCAAGCCCGCAACCAGGGCATATGGCCTCACCAGGAATCGAACTGTTACCTCCTGGTTCATAGGTCGATGTTCAACCACTGAGCCACACCAGCCTGCCTGCTTTTGACTTTTGGTGATGATTGCTTTGGCATGTTCTTGACTTTATATAAATGCAGTAAAGTAATATGTATATTTTGTTTCTTGATTCTTTCATTCAACATTGTATTCGAGATCCATCCATGTTATCTTATGTAGCTTTGTTTATTCTCATCTGCTGTCTAGTAACCCAATATATGAATGAATATACCATAACTTATTTATTTTTAAAATTGATTTTAGAGAGGGAGGAAGGGAGAGAGAGAAACATTGATGTGAGAGAGATACATCGATTGTTAGACACGACCTTCCAATGCATGGGATACTGCTTTAACCAACTGAGCCACACCAGCCAGGGCTATCATAACTTATTCTTTCTACTGTTTGTGGGTATCTGGGTTGTTTCTAGTTTTTGCAAATGCTGCCCTGAATATCCTTGCTTGTTTTTTGGGTGCAGATATGTATACATTCCTATTAGGTGTGTTCAAAGGAGTGACAAGTAGTGGTGTCATTTGATCAGCCTCAGTAGACACTGCCCGAGTGGTGTTGGGACCAGTTTGTACCATCTGCAGTGTGTGAGCAGTCAGTGGTTCTCTAATACGTGGTCACATCAGTTCTTTCATTCTCGCTGTCTGGTGGGTGTTGAGTGCATATATGTATGGCAGATTTTCTTTTACGTTCTTGTGTTTGCCTCTTCACTCTCTCAGTGGTATCTTTTGATAAGAAGTTTTCATTTTAATGTAGCCCAATTGATGCTCTTGGTTCATTGCACGATATCATGAAGTTCATGAAGGTGTTTTCCTGTGAAAGCTTTCTTGTTTTATCTGTCACATTTAGATCTATAATCCATCTGAAATTGATTTTTGTTTATGGTGTGAGATAGGGGCCAAGATCCTTCCCCCACCTGAAATATATAGATATCCAAATGACACCACATAATTTATTAAGAAGACCATCCTTCCCTAGTGCACTGCAGTGTCGTCTCTGTCATAAATCAAGTCACTGTAAATGTATGGGTCTGTTTCTGGACTCCCCTGTGCCCTTGATCTTTTGGTTATCTTTGCACAAATGCCACACTGTCTAACTTACTGTAGATTTAGTCAGTCTTGATAGCTGGTAATTTAAGTCCTCCAGCTTTGCTCTGATTCATGATTACCTAGCTAATCTTGACCCTTTGTGTTTTCAGATAAATTTTAAGATCTACTTGGCAGTCTCTCCCCAGAAAATGTGCTGGGATTTTAATTGAGATTGCATTAAATCTGTAGACCAATGCGGGGAGTACTGACATCTTTTTAATATTGGTCTTATAAGCCATGAACACAAGAAAGTCTACCATTTATTTAGATCTTCTTTAACTTGTCTTATTATTTTACAGTTTTCTGTATATGTTTAATATGTGTTTAATTTATTCATAGGTATTTGATATTTTTGATACCATTAAAAATTATATCTTTATGAATTAAATTATGCAGTTGTGTATTACTGGTATATAGAGATAGAACTTTTTGGATATTCACTTGCTAAATATATTTCTAATAATAATTATTGTATTTTCTATGCGTACACATGTGTCTGCAAATGACACTTTTTTTCTTTCCCAGTGCTATACCCATTTTTATTTTTCTTGCTTTATTGTACTGGCTAAGATCTCCAGTACAGTGTTAAGTAGAAGTGATGAGAATAGGTTTCCTTATGTCGCTTCCAATATCAGAGGGAAAGCAGTCCGTATTTTACCATTACAAGTGATATTTGATGTAGCTTCTTTGTAGATAGATATTTTTATCAAAATTTGAAAATTCTACCTTTTTAGTTTGCTAAGCATTTTTAAAATAATGAATTAAATTATTATGTTAAGTTTTTTTTACTTTAAAATTTTTCAGTTACAGTTGACATTTGATATTACTAGTTTCAGGTGTACAGCTTAGTGGTTAGATACTTATATAACTTACAGAATGATATTCCCCCATAAGTCCAGTACCTACTTGGTACTATGCATAGTTACCACAATATTATTGACCATATTCCCTATGCTATACTTTATGACTGTTTTTATAACTGGCAATTCATACATATTAATCCCTTCCCCCTTTTCACCCAGCCTCCACCCTCTGCCTCCCCTTCTCGATCTGGTGACCATCACTTTGTATCAAGTGATTTTTCTTTTATGTGGTGGTTTAACTTAAAAATTTTTTTTTGAAATTCTGTAATAATCCCAACCTGACCTCAGTGTATTCTTCTTTCACTGTTTTTGTTGTTGTTAATATTTGTTAGAATTATTTCATTTGCATTCATGAGAAATTGGTGTGTAATTTTACTTTTTTGAATTGTCTTATTGAAAGTGTTTATTTGACAGTGTTTCCAACTTGACAATAAATGATGGTGATTTAATTATAATTAAATACAAATGAGTATATGAAAGCCTAATGAAGTTCAGAGAAGTATTATGTTTCAATACATGTATGTTATCTACTTGCCCAATAAAATTTTATGCTTCTATTATAATTAACTAGGAATGAACTTATTTCAGTTTTTTTAAAAGAACAATTTCTAGTCTCAAAATTCTTATTTTGTTACATCCTCATTGAAAACCTAATTGAGAGTCAAGAAACGTATCTTGTAATGAGTCAAGCAAAAACATTAGTGTAGCCTTGCAAGTAAATTATAATTGAAACTGTGGAATCCTGATGAATCTGTAGCATCCAACACTTTTCTGCACTGAATGTCTCTGACGCTAAATATCTGCGTATCTTCGAGCTCCGTGCTTTACAGTCCATTCTTTTTGTTGGGTTTGGTCAGGGCTATGCTGGTCTCATAAAACAAGGTGGGAGTGTTCCTGATGGGTTCCCAGAAGAGTTCCTGTGAGACTGGTGTTCTTTTCCCTTAGGTTTTTGGAAGAAGCTGGGGTAGGGTTTGTTTTTGTGCGTGAGAAGGCTTTAATTTCAGATTCAGTTTCTTACATGGAAATAGGATTTTTCTTATTTTCTGTTTCTTGTGTCTGTTTAGGTAGGCTTTTTTCCCCCCTAGGAATTCATTCAGGTCACCTGAACTTTTCAGTTAATGAGTGTGAAGTGGCTCATGTCCCCTTTACAATTATTTGATATTGGTCACTGTGCTTTATTTCTTTTTCTTGCTGGTCTTGCTAGGGGTTTATCAATTGTATTAATCCTTTCAAACAACCAACTTTTGGCTTTATTGATTTTTTTTTCCTATGTAATTTTTGTTTTCTATTTCATTTTTTCCCCTTCCATCTACTTTTTATTTGCTGTTCTTTTTTCTGGTTTCTTGAGATAGATGCTTAATTGATTTTTAGCTTTTCTTCTTTTCCAATATATGTGTTTAAGATTGTAAATTTCCCTCTAAGCACACCTTTAGTTGCATTCCACAAGTTTTGATAAGCCAAATTTTTATTCTTTTAGGTAAAAATATTAAATGGTGTGGCTCAGTGGTTGAGCATCGACCCATGAACCAGGAGGTCACCCGTTCAATTCCCAGTCAGGGCATATGCCTGGGTTTTGGGCTGATCCCCAGCAGGGGGTTTGCAGGAGGCAGCTGATCGTTGTTGATGTTTCTCTCTCATCAATGTTTCTATCTCTCCTCCCTTCCTCTCTCTCTCAAAAAAAAATCAATAAAAACATATTAAAATATTTAGAATTTTGTCATTGTAGTATGTTTTTTTGTCATGAAGTTTTTAGAAAGTATACTACTTCCCAATGTTTGGGGGATTTTCTATTTATCTTTGTGTTGATTTCTAGCTTAATTTCATGAAGATACCTGTCTTAGTCTTTTCAGACTACTATAACAGTACCATAGACTAGCTGTCTTATAAACAACAGAATTTATTTCTCATGGTCTGGAGCAGGGGTCCTCAAACTTTTTAAACAGGGGGGCCAGTTCACTGTCCCTCAGACCGTTGGAGGGCCGGACTATAGTTTTAAAAAAAACTATGAACAAATTCCTATGCACACTGCACATATCTTATTTTGAAGTAAAAAAACAAAACGGGAACAAATACAATATTTGTATTTGCATGTGGCCCCCTGGTCTGGAGGCTGGGAAGTCCAAGGTCTTGGTGCCAGGTGATTCGATGTCGGGTGAGCCTGCTTCCTGGTGTATAGATGGCCAGCTTCTCACTGTCCTCACATAGTGACGGGGCAAAGGAGCTCTGTCCACTCATGACCTAATCACCTCCCAAAGTTCCTACCTTCTCATACCATCTCCTTGGGGCAGGGTGGAGGATTTGGAGGGACATAAACTGTCAATCCACTGCAATTCCTAAGTAGACTGCATTATTTCAGTCCTGTGAGATGTGTTGAGCTTGCCTGATGATGAGACAGCATATATTCATTTTTGTGAACTCTTCCTTGGGTACTTGAAAATAATGAGTATTGGTGGGAAAGCAGTGTTTTAAGTATATCAGATCAGATTTGTTTGAAAGCAACAAATGAGATTTTTGAAACACATTTCTCTCAGAGAACTCTTGTATATGAAACTGAGAAAAGATAATCCAACTGTTCAGGTTGAGTTTTGGGTGTGACCCCAAATTTTGCCCGTGTCTCTCCCAGTCTGCTAATCCCTGAGACCGGAGTGTATATAAGACTCAGACACCCTAACCAATAAGGTGGTGGTGTGTGTTTTTTTTAAATGTTTTATTAATTTTGGAAAGAGAGAAAAAAAACATCAATGTGAGAGAGAAACATCGATCAGCTGCCTCCCGTACTCACCCAACCAGGAACAAACCTGCAACCTGGGCATGTGACCTGACTGGGAATTGAACCTGAGACCTTCTGATGCATGGGACAACCCCAATCACCTGAGCCACACCAGCCAGGCCTGAACAGGTTCTTAAAAATCACAACTCAGCCAGGTTGGTTTTGCTCAGTGGTTGAGCGTGGACCCATGAACCAGGAGGTCAAAGTTCAGTTCCCGTCAGGGCACATCCATCCCCAGTGGGGGGCATGTAGGAGGCAGCCGATCAATGATTCTCTCTCACCATTAATGTTTCTATCTTTCCCTCTCCCTTCCTCTCTCTAAAATCAATAAAAATATATTTGGGGGGAGAATCACAACTTAGTGAGAAGTAAGCCTACCTACATCAGATGTGTCGATTGTCACAGCAGAGGTTTAGGGGAAGCTGGTGGCAGTATCAAGTGTGCTGGGTGGATTGGAAAGGGAAGCAGGTGGAAGCAGACTTGTCGGGAGGATGAGATCTGGAAAAGCTCTGATGCTGGGGAGACAAAGGAACTGGGGTAGAGACGCTCTTGAACATTGGACAGTGCAGCTCCCGCCCCCCACAGGGAAGTGTATGCAGCCAGGGGCCGGGGTGGAGGGGCTCCAGGGGTCACAGCCAGAGGCGGTGCAGCGCTCAACTGTGATTCCGTCTTCAGGGCTTTCAACAAGGAGATCAGGCACGGGCTGAGCTTAAGTCAGTGCACAAGTTAGGGAGACCGACCTCCTAATCAGGGTGCAGTAAAGTTAGCCAAGGCCTCCTCACTGAGGGCAGGCTCCTATGGTGCTCCCCCTGGTGTGCCTCACTGACTTGGCAGAACCTCGCTCAGGAGACCGGGCTTGTCTCCATGGTTCCTAGTTTATGAAATGGTTAAATGTATCCTTTCCAAGTAGCGCTGGCCCATTTGTATCTTCTCTCTTTTGCACAACTTGCCATCTTTTTTAAAGCAGCCCTGCCTTGTCTTCCTCTGTGTCAGCACCGTTAATTGTCTGCATGAGACAGAGTCTTCCACTCTTTTTTAAAAGAAAGGTGGGGGAGGGTATTGATTTCAGAGAGAGGAAGGAAGAGAGGAATAGAAACATCAATGATGAGAGAGAATCATTGATCGGCTGCCTTCTGCATGACCCCTACTGGGGATCAAACCTGCAACCAAGGTACATACCCTTGATCGGAAAATGAACCTGTGACCCTTAGGTGTGTCGGCTAACACTCTAACTGCAGAACAACACTGGCCAGGGCTACAGTGGTCACTTTCTTATTTTTAAATATATTTTTATTGATTTCAGAGAGGAAGGGAGAGAGAGAAACATCAATGATGAGAGAGAATCATTGATCGGCTGTCTTCTGCATGACCCCTACTGGTGTTCGAGCCCAAAACCTGGGCACGTGCCCTGACCGGGAATCAAACAGTGACCTCCTAGTTCAGTGATGGTGAACCTTTTGAGCTCGGTGTGTCAGCATTTTGAAAAACCCTAACTTTGACAGAACCTAGAGACAGAACCTAAAGAGAGAACCTAGACACAGAACCTAGCGAGAGAACCTGGCTGAAGAACCTAGAGACAGAACCTAGAGACAGGACTTGGCTGGAGATCCGAGACAGAACCTAGAGACAGAACCTAGGGAGAGAACATGGCAAAAGATCCTGGACAGAACCTGGCTACAGATCTTGGCAAAAGAACCTAGACAGAACATGGCGAGAGAACCTACATAGAACCTGGCCAGAGGAACCTGGCTATGATGATCACCTGAAAAAAAAAAAAAAAAAGAAAAAGAAAAACCCTAACTTAACTCTGGTGCCGTGTCACATATGGAAATTTTTTGATATTTGCAACCATAGTAAAACAAAGACTTATATTTTTTATATTTATTTTATATATTTAAATGCCATTTAACAAAGAAAAATCAACCAAAAAAATGAGTTCGCGTGTCACCTCTGACACGCGTGTCATAGGTTCGCCATCACTGTCCTAGTTCATAGGTTGTTGCTCAACCACTGAGCCATACCAGCCAGGTGAGCCTTCCACTTTCAGTTGAGGCCCTCAGGTTCCGAGTTCCATTTCCCCGGGAGACCGTGGTAGAGGCAGACAGAATCCCTGTCTTTCAAGAGCTGACATATCAAACCGCTTCTCAACAGAAGTACAGGTTGTGAGGTGTATCTTCACAGACGACGTAGTTAGAAAGACACAGCCAAGGCTGCGTGAGGTGTGCTGTCTGTGGTACACTGGGGTCCAGGAGTGACCCAGAAAAGGCCTGTGGAGGGTCTCTTTTGGTCAAAGATCCAGAGGCTGAGAGAAGCCAGCCGTGAGACCTTCCCCAGCACCGTGACTGCAGGGGCTAAGGCCAGAGGCAAGGAAGAACTTGGCCATGGCTCACACCATGGAAGTGAGGCCATTGTTCCTGCAGCAAAGGGAGGAGTGCGTCAGGTGAGGGGGCCAGGTAGGCAGTCAGAGCCTTGCCTGCCAAAGAGTGAGGGTTTCTTTAAATACTGTCACGGACCAGGTGGAGAGATTAACAAGGTTTGTTGGGATGTTTTTAGATCATGCTTATGCTGCTTAGAGAATGGGTTGGGGGTGGGGGCAAGAATGGACACAAGGTGGGAACCATTGGTTAGAGTGGTCACTTATTTTTTCATATTTTTTTTGGCTAATCCTCACCAGAGGATATTTTTTCCATTGATTTTTTTTTTTTTTTTTTTTTTTTTAGAGAGTGGAAAGGAGGTGGGGGGAGTAGAGAGAGAGAGAAACATGGATGTGAGTCATATCGATTGGCTGCCTCCCATATGTGCCCCAACCGGGGCGGGAATCAAACCCCAAACTCTTCTGTTCTTGGGCTGACATTCCAACCACTGAGCCAAACCAGCCAGGGCAACATTATTTTCTTTATCCTATTTAGATATTTAGTACCTTATTGTTATAATTATCCTACTGAGTCAAGTTTTAGAATTGTTTGTATAATTCTTTTGAGTTTTGGAATAAATATATCTTAATATATGCAACCCAGCCCTGGCCAGTGTGGCTCAGTTGGTTGGAGAGTCTTCCTGTCTACTAAAAGGTTTCGGGTTCGATCCCTGGTTGGGGAGTGTACGGGAGGTGACTGAGCAATGTTTTCCCCCTCTCTCTCTTCCTTGCCTCTCTCTAAAATCAATTTGAAAAAAAGAATATATGCAAATTGACCCTTGCACAAAATGGATTTGAACTGTGCAGACCCACATATATGCAATTTTTTGTTTTCAATATACACATACGGTACTATAAATGTATTTTATCTTTCTTGATTTTCTTTATTTTCTTTAAGTTACTTTATTGTAATTATACAGTATATAACATAACATACAAAATATGTGTTAATTGACTGTTTATGTGATTGGTAAGGCTTCAGTCAAGAGTAGGTCATGAGTAAAGTTTTTGGAGAGTCAGAAGTTATATGCAGGCACATTTTTGACTGCATGGGCAGGTCAGTGCCCCTAAGCCAACCTCCCCCATTATTTAAGTGTCAAGTGTAGTTAGAATCATATGTTTTAAAGCAATGGGAAGTAACATAGCCACACAAAATTTGATAACACAGTTAGGTTCATTTGTTTTTGATTATTCTTAATTTTAGGGTCTGCCTTTTTTGTTTGGGATATAATTTTTTCCCAAATACATAAAATGTTTATATGATCCAAAAATCAGAACCACAGAACTAGGCATACTCAGAAGTCTTGCCCCTCCCATCTCTGTCCACCCACCTCTCATGGGTGGGATGACCATGTGCCCCAGTTTGCATGAATAGTCCTGGGTTTTGCTTCTTTTCAAGTCCTGGGTACAGCTTCTTTTCAAGTATTTCCGTTCTGTGTCAGGGCTCAAATAAGCTCTTGGGGGCTAGCCTTGTAAAGTCAGGTTCTAATGACTGGCGTCATTTCTGGGGTAAAGTTGACTTTGATTTCAAAGAATTTATGCATGAACTTGAATATGCCACCTGTTTGTAAATTGTCTAGAATCATCTATATCAACCATTTTTCGTAATTTGAATGTCAGATTGATTAAGTGAACCCTTGTCCCTTCTTTGTTCTTTAGAGAGAAAAACTTAAAATGCAGCGAAACGTTGGCAGATAATTTTAATTATTTCAGAGGAGTTTCGCTCTACTGAATGCCTGACAGGCAGTCTGAGTGAGGTGGTCTGTGGTCTGGGCTCGTCGTCTGACCTCTTTCTCTGGAGGGTCACCCCTTGTCCCAGGCCTGGGCTGCCTCTGCGTGAGCCCTGGGATCTTGACAGCGTCTGTCCTGTTTTCCAGGAGTTTGCAGCACTTACTAAAGAGCTCAATGTGTGCAGGGAGCAGCTGCTTGAGCGGGAAGAAGAAATTGCTGAACTGAAGGCAGAAAGAAACAACACCAGGGTGAGTCTGGTCTGCGTGCTCTCACACTGGCCTCTGGGTTGCTGTCCAGAGCTGCGCTGGCGCTGCTGGCTTTACTCTTTGATCAAAGACGACCCACTCCGTCTGGCTTCAAGCACAGTTTCAACATCTCCTGTGACTCAACTGCATTTGATCAGTTCAGTGTTCTCAGTCCTGGCTTGAAATTGATGATGAGAAGAACTAATATTTTAATACTGTTGAGAGGGCTCTCTCTGACTTTAGACCAAATTGAAGGGAGTCAGACTCGTGTTAGCATGAGAGTGAAGGGAGTTATTTGCTCCAGGTTCAAATACGATACTGAGAGTGTTCCTTAAACGTGTTTGATTTTGGCCTTTCTTGTAGCTGCTGCTAGAACATTTAGAGTGCCTTGTCTCCAGGCACGAGCGGTCTCTCCGGATGACCGTGGTGAAGAGACAGGCGCAGTCCCCGGCAGGCGTGTCCAGCGAGGTGGAAGTCCTCAAAGCACTCAAGTCATTGTTTGAGCACCACAAAGCTCTTGATGAAAAGGTACAGCAGCCCCGCAGTTATTCTTGTCTTGAACATGTGCCGCATTGCTCCGTGGGCATCATGGATGTGCACAACTTAAACTCTTACAAAGTTTTCCTGTGAGAAGATGGAGTTCTGTATAGGTAAAAAGTATTAGTCGGCATAAATGTTTTAAAGTTTTTGTTGTTGTTTTGTTACATATTTTTATTGATTTCAGAGAGGAAGGGAGAGTTTGAGAGAGATAGAAACATCAATGATGAGAGAGAATCATTGATTGGCTGCTCCTGCATGCCCCACACTGGGGATCAAGCCCGCATGCCGGCATGTGCCCTGAATGGGAATCAAACCGAGACCTCCTGGTTCATAGGTCAATGCTCAGCCACTGAGCTATGCCAGCCAGGCTTAAAATTTATTCCATTCTGTATATTGAGTTGTTATTAAGAATTGAATAGTATAATTTAGGGAGAAGATTTTTCTAAATTATTAAGCTATTAACAAACGGCTTTTCTTGACATTAACATCATGAAAGATGTTAAGGTATACTGTTGTGTTATGTTAGAATGATGGTGAATTAGAATTGCTGTCATTAGTGTTAAATAAATATGCACACACTTCAACCCTGTTTGCCATCAGGTGAGGGAGCGCCTACGAGTAGCACTTGAAAGGTGTAGTTTGCTGGAAGAAGAGCTGGGTGCCACCCACAAAGAGGTAAGTTTGGTACATCACATGGTTTGAATTGAGGGCTTTTCATTTTTATCTCGTAATTTAAAAAAAAATTATGAAGACTGTGCTAGTGGATATCAGGTGCTGTTTGTCTTTCTGAGTGAGGACCAGCCCCTGGAGTCAGTGTAAGGACTGGTGAATGGCACTTTCCTTCCAGAGTTGCAGGATATCTCTTAGTACCACCTGTCCAGTAGGGAGTAAGTTCTGGTTTTACTAATCCGGCCATAGTCCGGATGGCTGACGTCCCCATGGATATATTCTTATATTATGTTTACAGTTGGTAGTTGTATTTTTCCAAAACGAGTTTTGCTATCTTTACTTAGTTCTTTACTCTCATATTCGATTTTTTGGTTTTAGCTGATGATTCTTAAAGAACAGAATAATCAGAAAAAAACACTGACAGATGGGGTGCTTGACATAAATCATGAACAAGAAAACACACCCAGCACGAATGGAAAGGCAAGTCCTTGGCTCTCTCTGTCTCTTTCTAAGTCCTGGTTCCACCTGTCCGTGGTCTGCGCAGGACTGTGGGGAACGCTGGGCCATAGCCCAGTCCAGTCCAGCCTCGCGCCCGCGGAAGGTGTGGTCCAGCTGACTGCATACATTCATTTGATGTCTCCCTGTGTCCCAGAAGCACTTTGCTTCCTAGCTCCTCAGATGAGGCTGTTTAAGAGTTCTTTTCTCCCCATCAGAGATCCTCTGATGGTTCTTTAAGCCACGAGGAAGACCTTGCTAAAGTGATGGAGCTGCAGGAAGTCATAGACAAGCAGGCCCGGGAGCAGAGCCAGATGAAGGAGCGCCTGGCCGCCCTCTCCACCCACGTGGCGGAGCTGGAGGAGGACCTGGACACGGCCCGGAAGGACCTCATCAAGTCCGAGGAGGTGAACACGAAGCTGCAGCGAGATGTGCGGGAGGTAAGCGAGCCCACAGATTTCAGGGCATCATTGGGCCAAATGCTGGGGTGTTCTGAAAGTTTGATTGTTTTGCTCTTTTTGTCCCTTACTCTCCCAATTGCTTCCAACCTTCGCATCATTGTATACGTAATAGCAAAACAGAACGGTGCTGTGAGACCGTGATAGGTGACCTCCGTTCTGCTGGTGCAGTCTCCTTTCCCCAAGGTCTGGAAAGGTGGAGACCTGGTCCAGCTGCTCATTAGACCGGCGGCGGCAGAAGGGACAGGAGGCCACCCTTCTGGTCATGCTACTGCATGACTGTGTAACGCCCTGGTTGTGGAGTCCTGATTTCTGCAAGGTCTGGGCGGTCTGAACCTAGTCTCCACCATGACACACACGTGAACATGTGGGTGTTGGTGTTTGGTGTGCTGCTAGTTCACTGACCTGCTGTCTGCGTTGACTGCTGACTGTTCAGAGCGTTGGCGATCTCCTAGCCTTTATATGTCCTGTCCCCAAAAGAATCATTGATACTAAATGCCGGGGTCAGACAGACAGTGAGTGTGCTCACATGGGGTCATCAGGATGATGCTGTCACATTGCGTAGAAATGCACTCCTATCTGGCAGACGGTTCCTTCTGTATGTGTAAGAATTTATAATCATCATTATAAAAGCCAGTGAGGGCTGCATACTTTCTCTGGCATCGCCCCTCCCCCTTCACTTTATGTTTTTCTTTGTAAGCAAGACAAACACCCCACCTCTTCTCCCCGGGAGACCATCTCGGCCAGGACTCTCAGGAAGAGCCTTTCAGACCCTCACAGGAGTAGATAGAGTGTAACCTGTTATGGTTTAGTTACATTGTTCTCTGGCAACAGGCAGTATTTATGTGGCAGAGTGTAATATGCAGAGAATTTTGAAATTAAATTCTTTTTTTAAAGACCTGTCACTTTTAATATTAAGACTTTGCTAACATTAGTTACTTAGTCTATGGGGAGGCACCTAAAATGAATTTCTACATGGGGACAGGAATTGCATGAGCAGAAAGTTCGGCCCTAGTTTCAATGTTTAATACTGTGTAAGAGAATTATTTTCACAGGATTAGGCTTTTGAAGGCTGTATACAGTTAACTTAAATTTTGACTTCCATTTCCATTCATTCATTTGATCTCCTTACATTTTTTTTTTAAATATATGTTTTGACTTCAGAGAGGGAGAGCGAGAGAGGAATAGAAACATCAATGATAAGAGAGAATCATTGATTGGCTGCCTCCTACATGCCCCCTACTGGGGATCGAGCCTGCAACCTGGGCATGTGCCCTGACTGGGAATTGAACCGTGACCTCCTATTTCCTAGGTCAACGCTCAACCACTGAACCACACCAGCCAAGTGTAATGATTTCCTTAATTTTGTGGTAATTGGATGTGATTTCATCCAACTTGTACCCAAGAAAATGACACTGGTGTCTGACTGTTATGTCCATTGAGGGACCACACCTTGTCCTGGTTGATGAACCCTCTTGTACTGTGAGGCAGATACCTTCCCCTCCTGGAATTCGTGCAATATTGCGATATTTCATTGTACATTTTTTTGGAAATACTACGTAGAAAAGGGTAAGCTTGGTTAACTGAGTGGTCAGACATAGTGTTAAGACAGGGAGTGCTGGCTAATGGTATAGGTGCATGTTTATGATATTTGAGGTAGGCACGTTTTCATTCACATTGCTGAAAATTGACCTATCAATTTAATTTTGGAGACACTAATTTTATATCTGATTTGAAAATTAGGGTTTAGTCCAGTTTTTTCTCTTCATCATGTTGATGTGTTCCCTGTTACTTACCTTCCCCTCTGAATGCTGTGTAGGCCATGGCGCAGAAGGAAGACATGGAGGAGCGGATCAACACCCTGGAGGAGCGCTACCTCGCAGCCCAGCGTGAGGCCACCTCTGTGCACGACCTCAACGACAAGCTGGAAAACGAAATTGCCAACAAGGACTCTATGCATCGACAGGTAGTGTTCTTAAGGAACTTGGTCTCGCTTTTCCAGTTAATTACTAAGGAAGTTAGAGCCCTTTTCCTGTGACTTTCATGTTGGCGTCAAGTCCAAAGTAAAGTTTTTATGATCTCAGACTAATATGTTTGAAAAGTATGGGTTATTTTAATTAACAGTTTTAATTATGTAGGATTTGGTTTTACCATTTTATAGAGTTACACTCCTTGATTCTTCTGTTTTGTTTCATTAATCTGTTGTTTGTCAGCCTGTTTACCCAAGAAACAGAGTGGCAAAGACCTTCCCATTTCGAGGCAGTGGGCTGCTTGTGAGTGACTGGGGTCAGGATAGTAAATGGTGGGTTTAGCAAGGCAGCCTGCAGGGAGCGTTCACCTCTGGTGATTCCACAGCCACACCCGTTCTTGTTCCTCTGGAGTCTCAGGTAGTCAGTTAACTCGAAAACTGAATCCACTTCTGAAAATAAAGTGAGTTTGTCTAGTATATTATAAAGTGTATCCTTAGCGCCCAAGTTAAAATAATAAATAAAATACTGGGAAGTTATAAATTAGAATGTGGAATGCTGTTTAAGAGCATGTAAGATGTTCACAATACTGAGTTTAAAAGACAGGTCACAAAATTTTCTGAGGGTTTGAAAGCATAATATATTGTGTATATGTAACAGGTTTAAAATTGTGAGTACTCAAAACAGTTTACTCTTGGTTATTATGTATTGATTATTGTATTATTAGATGTATTATAACTGTAAACCTACTATTGTCTACCCGTATATATGCAGGCAGAGAAAAGGAAGAAAGCTGAATATAAACAAATGCTAACATCTCAGGAACCTGAACTTATAAATGAGTTCTGAGTTTTCTTTTTTTTAAAAAAAATTCTTTTGTCTGTATTTTCTACATTGAAATTTTTGTAGAGTATGAGGATTTTTTTTAAAAAAGACTAATCCTACATTTACAAAAATAACTTGAGCCCAGCTGGCGTGGCTCAGTGGTTGAGCATCAACCTATGAACCAGGAGGTCATAGTTCGATTCCCTGGCTGGGTACATCCCCAGGTTGCAGGCTCAATCCCCAGTGTGGGGTATACAGGAGGCAGCCGATCGATGATTCTCTCTCATCGATGTTTCTCTCTCTCTCCTTCTCCCTTCCTCCATGAAGTCAATAAAAATATATTAAAAAACAAAAATAACTTGAGAGGCATTTTGTAGGCATCCTCTTGGGGGGGGGGGGCCCTCCCTTTCCGAGGAGATGGAGCCACGCCGTGGTGGTCAGCTGTGAGAGGGGCCTGGTTCTCCTCAGTCCCCACTGAAAAGGGACCAGCATGTTTCTTTAGTGTGTAGAAACTTGTATTTCTGGGAAGATTTCTTTAATGATACTTAGGAAAGGCAAGTACTCTGGCCAAAGGTGTTTTGCAATTGAAGTCAAGCCCAAGAAAGTGGTTGTGAACTCCTCGCAGGAAGAGTTCTCCCATCAGAACTAACTTCGATGTCAGCATTCAGATTTGTCTTAGTTTATTAAAGACAGAGTGGCTGCCCCAGCTGCTGTGGCTCAGGTGGGTGGGCATCGTCCTGTGCACCCAGAGGTTGCCGGTTGGATTCTGATTAGGACACATGCCCAGGTTGCAGGCTCAATCATCAGTAGGGGGCTTGCAGGGGGCAGCTGATCGATGATTCTATCATCATTGATGTTTCTATCTCTCCCTCTCCCTCTCTGAAATCAATAAAATATATTTTAAAAAACACACACACACAAACCAGAATGACTGGAAGAGCTGTTCCCACTCGCTTCTCTGCTCTCTCTCCACAGACTGAGGATAAGAACCGCCAGTTGCAGGAGCGCTTGGAGCTGGCGGAGCAGAAGCTGCAGCAGACCCTGCGGAAGGCGGAGACACTCCCTGAGGTGGAGGCTGAGCTGGCCCAACGGGTGGCCGCGCTCTCCAAGGTGCTTCCCCGGCTTCCTTCCCTTACACACAATGGTCATTGGTCTTACATCATTAGCCCAAAATCCCTGAAATAGCCTGACTGGTTTTTAGTGCTGTTTTGTTTGAGAGTGGAACACTTCTTAAATGTCAGGCATACCCCCATTTATTTGTTATCCTGATGTTGATTTCCCTCCAGTTTGTCAGGCGTGTACTGTTTGTCCCCAGCGTGGATGCTCTAAGAGTCACTGCTTCTTGGAGTTAAGTCAGCAGCTCAAGGTCCCGGATGGAAGCTTTGTGGAGAGGAAGGGAAGGGCTTCTCAGAAGTAGGGGAGGACCACTCTCTTCTAAAGACAGTCAGAGTGGATTTGTAATAAACAATTTTTTTTTAAAATATATTTTATTGAATTTTTACAGAGAAGAAGGGAGAGGGATAGAGAGTTAGAAACATCGATGAGAGAGATCGATCAGCTGCCTCCTGCACAGCCCCCAGTAGGGATGTGCCCGCAACCAAGGTACATGCCCTTGACCGGAATCGAACCTGGGACCCTTGAGTCCGCAGGCCGACGCTCTATCCACTGAGCCAAACCGGTTCGGCGATAAATTTTTTAAGTAATTTATTCATTTGCTCAACAAATATTGGCTACGCATGTGCAAGACACAGTGCCTGTTCTCAGAGTCATCCTCACCCCAGGGGAAGCAGACAGATGACAAGACGATGTCAGAATGCTGTCCTGGTGCTTGGGCTGGGCGGGTCCACAGGAGGAAGATGGGCATAGCCACAGACACCCCGCCCTCCTGGGCCTACGAGAGCCTCAGGTCTGCGGTCCAGCGGCCCAGGCGCCTGTGGGGGAGCACCTGCTGATGGTTTGTCTCACTGGCTCGAGCTCAGGAGCTAGAAGGGGCAGGACAGGCAGAATGCTGTGTGGCCAGCGTGGGGTCAGTCAGATGACACAGGTGCTCACAGACCCGTGAGCGAGTTCATGCTAACAGCTGGGACAGAAGCTCTTCCTTTCCACCATGATCTGCGTTTAAAGTCTCGGTTTCTCTCCTCTGTCACCTCTCCTGTCCTTGTCATCTCTTCTGTCCCCGGTCGGCCCTGTAGTCTGACCTTTTGTCTCCTGGAAGCTCTGCTGCTAAGGAAGCTAAACTGTGCGAACTCACTTCCCAGCTTAGGAAGGTAGTCGTGCCGCGTCGGGTCGTGCTTGCTGCTCTGCTCCATGCGCACTCAGCACGCAAGCTCAGGACGGGGGACACGAGGAAGCCCGAGCCTGGGCATGGGGGGAGGCAGTTTCCTCACAGAGCTCACCACACCCCAGCCGCACCCAGAGCCACCCTCAGAGGGTCAGCTGCCTCCCACTGACACATGCCGCCACCCAGGACGTGCTGGTGGATGAGGAAGCGCTTCCATCCGTCGGGTGGAAGCGCCGCACGGAGCATGTGTGCTTTCTGCTACCGCTTTAGTTAGTTTGCAGCATGCGGCCCCCAGAGTCGCGTCACTGTTAGTTGAACTTATACACTGTTCTTGCCGACAGGCTGAGGAGAGACACGGCAACATTGAGGAGCAGCTGTGCCAGATGGAGGCGCAGCTGGAGGAGAAGAACCAGGAGCTGCAGCGGGTACGTGGCCAAGCAGACATCTGTCTGCTCCAGCACTGCGTGGAGCCTGGGGCAACCGGGTGGCGGGAGGCTCAGTTCTCCTCTTTCCCTGACTCTGTCCCCTTCTCCCTCTGCTGCGAGCATTTACCTTGTGGCCGCATCTGCGCTTTGTTTGCTGATAGGGACACCTGCCACACAGGCAACATTATGTCCCCTTGGGAGCAGGAAAGAACTTGGTGCCTGCGGGCAGTCCTGCAGGGGGCAGATGGATCCCCACATCCAAGGAGGCTGCCTGCAGCCCTGACGAGCTTGTTGGGAATTGCTCCAGGTACCACTGGGACCGATTTATGGACGCCCCTCAAACACACTGAGGTTGCTGGCCTGGGTCCCCTGAAATGACTAGGCAGAGTCTGCTTGCTTAGGATATGGCACCTGAGTCCCAAATTCAGGTTATGTTCCTGACCTCTATCCCGAAATAGCAAATTATTACTCTCAACGTAAAGGTATACATAGGGATGGACATTCCTGCACATGAGGATTGTTGGCTGAGCCGTGATGGAAGGAGTCCGCGAGCAGGGTCGTGGGGCGCGTGCCGGGTGGATCTAAGCTTTTCCCAAAGAGTCCGTCAGAGGTCAGCATGGCACATCCAGGGAAAAGCGAGTGGCTGCCCCAGGTCCAGCGGGTATCCACCTTATGACATCAGTTCAAGGCTGTTAGATTTTGTTTTCACCAGAAACTGTATTCTTGGTCATGGACTGCCGAGCATCAGACATGAGCTTCCACAAAGAGAAGATTCTGACTCTGATGAAGGGACCATGCTGGGCAGTCCCCTGCCCCCCAGTATGTGCACACACACATATGCACACATGCTCCTTCACAGGTATACACAGGTTCATGCACACACACACACAGGCACACACGCACAGGCTCGTGCACACGTTCACCTCTTGGAGAATTAGATTTTTGGCTATTTAGGGGTGCACTTTATTATTTTTTAATTTTTATTGATTTCAAAGAGGTGAGGGGGAGAGAGAGAGAAACATCAAGGAGAGAGAATCATTGATTGGCTGCCTCCTGCATGCCCCACACTGGGGATTGAGCCCCACAACCTGGGCATGTGCCCTGACCAGGAATTTAACTGTGACTGGTTCATAGGTCGACTCTCAACCACTGAGTCACACTGCTTGAGCCTCTCTATTATTTTCAGTACTGGCTTATAGAGTTGAAGGACAGGTGCTGAGATGGGGATTCTGTGTATAACTAAGGCAATTCAAAGTAAACTTTTAAGTTTTGCTCTCAAAATATTCGAATGTTAACACCTTACTGTATGGGGTCTCCTCCAGGTGGTGGTTGTAGAGTGTTAGGCATGGCTTGGAGGGCTTTCTCTTTAATCCTTACAAGGCCATTGAGAAAAGGGAGACACTGGCACCACATTTTATAGACGAGGAAACTGAAGCACAGTCCCGCAGCGAGTTCTTGTGGGGTCACCACTCCTACCCGGGCAGCGTGGCTTGAGCACGCCTCTCAGCCCCTGGCCACGCTGCCCTCCCCCTGGGGAAGCGCCTGCCACGCTCCGGCGCCCACCCTGAGTTGGCTGCCTGTTGGCACTTCCTGTCCCTGCACTTAGGATATGGGGCAAAAGCAAGCTTTTTAAACCATGAAATGGGTGATGGTTTTATCAACTATAGACTTATCACTTTGCTAATACATTTTGAAATTGAGGTATTTGTAATTTTTTAATATAAATCTTTATTATAAAATGTTCAAGAGATGTAGGAATATAAAGAAAAACAAGTGAAAGTCTCTCTATTACCACTGACTTTTTTCCAAAATGAACTTTTTTACCTTTTGCTTTGTGGGTTAAATTCTTTTCTCCCCTGAATCCAGACGCGGGGAAGGTCCTCCACCAGTGTGTGTACATAATCTGATCCCCATAAACACCCTTGTTCCTGCCTGTCAGTCTGCCTCCTGCGTCAGTCTGGCAGCTGATTGGAGGGGTTCCTGAGGCCCACGAGTGCTTCGTTCAGCAGAAGCACTAGGACCTTCTCCTTGGTGATCTCTCACAGACTCATCCCTGCGACTCTGCACCTGCGAGTAGGTCCTAGTGCTCCTGTCGTCACTACAGGCGACGGGGAGGGACAGCCTAGGGCTGATGGCACAGATCGCCCACACCGTCGGCCCTTGGCACTTTTAGAATAATGATCCTGCCTTTGCTGGAAGTTGCTAAGTGTTTTTTTGTTTGTTTTTTAATATATTTTTATTGATTTCGGAGAAGAAGGGAGAGAGAGAGAAACATCAATGATGAGAATCATCGATCGGCTGCCTCCTGCACGCCCCCCACTGAGGATTGAGCCTGCAACCCGGGCATGTGTCCCGACCGGAATGGAACCCAGGACCCCTCAGTCCACAGGCTGACGCCCCATCCACTGAGCCAAACCAGCCAGGGCGCTGATTTTCTGTTTCTCCTGTTTTAGGCACGGCAGAGAGAAAAGATGAATGAAGAACATAATAAACGGCCTGCAACCCATGTGTCCCGACCGGAATGGAACCCAGGACCCCTCAGTCCACAGGCTGACGCCCCATCCACTGAGCCAAACCAGCCAGGGCGCTGATTTTCTGTTTCTCCTGTTTTAGGCACGGCAGAGAGAAAAGATGAATGAAGAACATAATAAACGCTTATCAGAAACTGTTGACAGGCTCCTTTCAGAATCGAATGAGAGACTTCAGCTTCACCTTAAGGAGAGGATGGCTGCTCTGGAAGAGAAGGTTGGTTGCCCTGAGGGCATTCCCGCCCCACAGTGCCTAACGGTCAATGCCAGTGCGGAAAGCAGACAGTATCTTCCAGCGGAAGTGGCTCTCACTGGCCATGTCTTTGCGCAGTTTGCGTACATGGAAAATCGTTTGTCATTCTTATTCTCTAGAGCAGGAGTCAGTAAACCGTTTCTTTCAAGGAGCAGAATTTCAAGTGTAAATATTTTACACTTTTGCTAATAATTACAAACTGAGTAAAATAATTCCATGCTAATCAATGAACATGCAAGCAGCCAAAGACACAGTATGTAAATCAGTTGGTATGCTGTGTTCTAATAAAAATTGATTGACAGGAAGAGGCTGTGGGCTGGATTTCACCGACAGGCACCAGTTTACCAACCCCTACACTAGAATCTTTTGGGAGGCCCAGCCCTCACCCCTTTGTTGCTCTTGCATTGGAAGTTGATTTCTGTCTCAGTCCCATTCTACCACGTGCCTTCTCTCTTTCCATTTGGTTTGGAAAGTGTCTGAGCCTGAGCTTTTGCTGCTGTCGCCATGGAATTCTTAGCTGTGACTGAGAAGAGGCACATTCTAGGATCTGTCAGGACCCCAGTGGGAGCCAGTGGGGTCCAGGTCAATAAAATTGTTCTGATGGCACCAGTGTACCTAGAGATGCGACCCAGAATCTTGGTTGGGATTGGCACTTGGTCATGCTCATTTGAGAGAGACCAGTGATCTCTACTGATGGTGCGACACATCAGACACTATGAAACGCATTGTCCGAGCTGCACAGGATGGTTGGTGACACACATCCCTGATCAGTGGGCCAGCCCGAAGGCACGAATGTTTTTAATTTTTATTTATTTTTATTGATTTCAGAGAAGAAGGGAGAGGGAGAGAGAGAGAGAAACATCAATGATGAGAGAGAATCATTGATTGGCTGCCTCCTACACTCCCCACATCAGTGATTGAGACCACAACCTGGCATATGCCTTGACTGGGAATCGAACCATGACCTCTTGGTTCATAGGTCGCTGCTCAACCACTGAGCCACACTGGCTGGGCAGGCAGGAATGTTTTTACCTGGGAGCTGAACCCTGCATTTGAACCTGTGTTAGCTTTCCCTACTGGCCTAAAGGCCACTGCAGACCAGTGTAACAATTAAAGTGAATGTGCCACACCAGCATTCGGAAGGCAGTCAGAAAAGTACGTTTACCTTACCAGGGACTGTTCACGGTTCCTCTGGCCTCACTCTGGGAGTGTGGTGCTGCTCAGCAGTACATTCTTATGCCTCATACCTTTGCTGAGGTACTTCATTATTTTAAACAGAAACGTAGCCATCTGAGATCACGTGGAGCATTGTCCTGAATCAACACTAAAGCACTGTATCTTTTTCAGAATTCTCTAGTACGTGAAGTTGAAGATGCAAAAAAGCAATTAGAAGAAACTCAACATGATAAGGTACTTAAGTCTGTAACCCATTTAGACCCCCATTGAGAGCAGAACAGAGCTGCGTCCAGTGCTGCTGTGACCGCTGCGGCATGGGGGGTGCTGAGGGCGGCTTCTCTGTGCGAGCCCACTGCTCCGTGGCTGTGCGTCTGGTGGTGCACGTGGCCCAGGACTGCTTCCTTCTGGCTTCACCGGAAAGCTACGACAGAACCACAAACCTTCCACCTAGCACAGGCCCGGCCAGTAGGAAGACACTGAGCCACGCCTGATCCTAGCGGCCCACATTTAAACAGTGCAAGGACAGGTGAAAGTAATTGTGTTTAACCCAGGAGAATCGAAATGTTACTTTGTCATGTAATGAATATAAAAACTGATGAGCTCCTCCCCATGCTTTTTATCATATGAAGCTTGAAATCCAGTGTGTCTTACAGTCACCACACATCTCAACTGGGACTGCCCCTTCGAGTGCTCCGTGGCCACGTGGGGCCACTATAGGAGCTACTTGGGATAGCACTGAGGCACAGCTTAGGGGTGCCTGGAACAGCTTTTTGTTAGCTTGACTTAATGTTTTGCAGCGTATAGAAAGGAGGTTGAGCATACAAATGGTAGGTGAGTGCAGGTGTGCAATTATTCGTTGGGGGTTGGGGGGGGGTCTGTTTACATTAGGACTTTTGGAGAAAATGTTCTCAGAATTAAAGCGCTTGGTACTTGTCACTGTTCAGTTAACCTATTGTGCGAAGAATTTGCATCCTGAGATCTTCAATGGGTGTCACTTGCTGTTTTGCAGAATCAGCTGGTACTGAACATCGAAGCTTTGAGGGCTGAACTGAGCCAGATGCGGCTCAGAGGTGCTTCCCTTCATCACAGGTATGAAGTCGGCCTCCGCCCCTGTCCTGTGTGCACAGGGCGCGTGCCTGGCTGGGTGGGCAGCATCACTGGCTGCAGCTTGGCTGGGCCCCAGAGGTCAGGCCGGGCTCAGCACCTGGAGGAGGTGTGGAAGGCGGGTGATCAGTTCATGGGTGTGTTCACTGGAAGGCCCCGCAGAACAAGGCCCTGGTGCTGTAGGGATAGGCAGGCAAAGCCCAGGGCCTCAGTGAGCATCGGACCCCGGGAGTGACAGTCACGGCACAGGGACGGAGAGGCTGTGTGGGGGGACAGTGGCAGGAGAGGCTTCGAGGAGGCAAACCTGCAGATTTCACAGAGGAGCCGGAGGTGGGGAAAGACACCTCGCAGAGCGCCTGGGACAGGCATTGGCTGGGAGGGTAAAGAGAAGCAGGCATGAGCTCAGCTTCTGGGCGTGACTTTGCAGTGGGGTCAGTCAGCTTGTTTTGTGACCTTCTGGAGCGAGAGGAGAGAGTCCAGGCAGAGTGGGAAAGGCAGCTGATGGACGGGCTTCCGTAAATAGACTGCATATGGACAAGAGCCTCGCTCCTGAGGGGACTAGCTGCAGGGTGGTGGCAGTGGGGAGGCGAGGCAGCCTGGAGAACGGTGTCAGGAGTAGGCACTTGTGGACTCTGGAGAAACCGAGAATCATCCAGAATGACGTGCAGGACTGTACGTGTGGCTTTCAGCTGGTGTGAAACAAGGTCCAGCCCCACCACAGCTGGAACCCTGCTGAGGAGGAAGGAGCAGTTCATTAGGACAAGGGAAAGAGGAAATTCCCCACATGGACATCTTTAGACGAGCAATAAGTCTGAGCAGCATTTCAGAGACATTTCTTGAAAGAATGTAGAGGTGTGGGAACCAAAGGGGATGAGTTGGCATGTCCCACTGGCCCTGTCCGCAGGTCGCGTGCCCAGGCACAAGGGGACCCGTTAACTTACTTTGATCAGGTGGGTGGGTTTTATCTCCCCAGATCCTAAGGACTTTTGAGGATGAAGGCAGCACCCTTGTTTCCCAGGTGACGGTGGCAGGACTGAGTGTGGTGCCCTGCCCAGTGAAGGCGGGACCTCTGGGCAGTGCGCTCCGTCCCCCGCTGACCAGGTCCTCGGCAGGCCTCCTAGGGACAGGTAGTGGCTCCTTCAGCATCTCCATCCGGGGTGTCCAGGCCTGGCCACTGTTCGGGAGATTCCTCCAGCCAACAGTGTTGTGTGTCTGCTAACCTGATTGCACACTGGTCTGTGCTTTGGATTTGGAAACATGAAAGCAAGCTGCCAAGTCCAGTTCCTGTCAGTGCCAGCTGGGGTTCAGGGGCTCCTGCAGCAGGTCCTCCAGGGTGCACTTGAGGCAGCCTCACAGGTGGGGGCTGGGGGCCGGCAGCCTCACACGGTGGTTGTTGGCAGATGGGAAAGTAAGCAGTTGGAGGCCAGGAGTGACATGCGGGTGTGCCCCCTGGTCAATCAGGGAGAAAGCGGAGCTGACCCAGGCTGCGCAGCCTGACCAAGGGACAGTTCTGAGGGTCACGTTTGCGGTGTCGCATTGGTTTCCCTGGGCATCGAGGTTACCCTCCTGGAGGGGCTGAAAGAGGAAAGATTGGCGGGGCGTGGGCATTGGAGCAAGCAGAGGCCCCTCTGTGCCCTCCGTGAAGACCTTGCCATAAATTTATTTATTTCCCAGATTGACAGGTCTGGCCTGACCAACAAAGTTAGTTCACTTTCTTCTAATAATGCTTTTTTCCCATGTTTCAGCCGACCCCACTTGGGCAGCGTCCCAGACTTCAGGTTCCCCGTGGCAGACGGTCCCACGGACTCCTACAGCAGCAGCGCGGTGTTGCGGCGCCCCCAGAAAGGCCGCGTGGCAGCGCTGCGGGACGAGCCTTCCAAGGCAAGCGCTCCATCTTCTCCCCGGGTCACCTGCCTGCACAAGTCACCTGTTTATCTCATAGTTTTGAGACTGTTTTGGAATTACAGTGTCAATAGGTCACGTTCTCTTTCCCTCCCCCCCATGTCCCTTTTTCTAGCTAAAAGTTTATTTTTGAGGTGTGCTATTTTTTTCTAACACAATGCCGATTAGTAGTCTTGAAGTAGTAGTGAAGAATAAGTGAGTGCATGTATAGTCAACCCTTGAACAACACGGTTTTGAACTGTGCAGGTAGCTTATCTGTGGAATTTTCCAACGTGTAAACAGACCACTTACACTTAGGACTAGGTATCTATGAATAGGTACAGCATCGTGAATGTATTTATAAGTACAGTGTATGATGTAAGACAAAGTATGTGTTAATTGACTATCTTATTGATAAGACTTCCAGTCAACAATGGGCTGTCAGTAGTTAAGTTTTGGGGGAGTCAAAAGTTATACATAGATTTATGACTGTGCAGGGGGTTGGCACCCCTAACCCTGTATTGTTCAAGGGTCAACAATATTTATCTTTTTTTTTTTAAGAGTGTGTATATATATATTATTTTTATTTATTTCAGAGAGGAAGGGAGAAGGAGAGAGACAGAAACATCAATGATGAGAATCATTGATTGGCTGCCTCCTGCACGCCCTCCACTGGGGACTGAGCCCACAACTCGGGCATGTGCCCTGACCGGGAATCAAACCCTGACCTTCTGGTTTATAGGTTGACGCTCAACCACTGAGCCACGCCAGCCAGGCTAAGCATTTTATTTTAACTTAAATGAGCATTCGCTCGCTAATTAAATTAACATTCACTGGCTTATCTTGATGGATGCCAGCAGCTTGTAGCGTGGCCCATTTTTCGAGAATCGGGCTTGATTTAGAAATTTTTGAAAACTTTTGACTTTGACTCCCTTAAAGTTGCTCTGACTATGGCTATACTCTTGTATCTTTGCTGAGATGGGGTTTCTGTTCACAGGTACAGACTCTGAACGAGCAGGATTGGGAGCGTGCCCAGCAAGCCAGCGTCCTGGCCAACGTGGCACAGGCGTTTGAGAGCGATGTCGACCTGTCAGACGGCGAGGATGAAGGGGACACTCTCTTCAGCTCGTCGGCGCTGCTGTCGCCCAGTGGGCAGGCCGACGCTCAGACGCTGGCCATGATGCTGCAGGAGCAGCTGGACGCCATCAACAAGGAGATCAGGTATATGGGGTTGTACATAGGGTTATGCCCGGCACACAGACAGTGTCCCCGGGGAACTGTACCCCACTTAGAGAAGGCTGGAGCAGGTGCAGCGAGCAGTGTCTAAATGGTCTAGAACAGTGGTTCTCAACCTGTGGGTCGCGACCCCTTTGGCGGTCGAATGACCCTTTCACTGGGGTCGCCTAAGACCATCCTGCATATCAGATATTTACATTACGATTCATAACAGCAACATTACAGTTATGAAGTAGCAATGAAAATAATTTTATGGTTGGGTCACAACATGAGGAACTGTATTTAAAGGGCCAGAAGGTTGAGAACCACTGGTCTAGAATAATACTTCAGTTCTGTTTGAAGGGTTTTTAAGTTTTGAAATTGCCCTTTATTATGGAATTCAGTCAGCCAGGGCCTTCCCTCTACAACTGTGGTGTCGGCACATTTGTGTAAGGTGCTGTGGCAGGGTGAGAGGTGTTCAGTTCCATCCCCAAAAGCTGAGGACCCAGCTGGAGGGCCCTGGAGCTTTGCCCGCCTGGGAGGCTGCCGGGTGGGGGCTACCTGCCACATGTGCGTCCTCCAGCCCTGCAGAGTGCTGGTGTGTGTCACACAGCCACTTCAAACAGGAAAGCTAAGGTGTGAAGGTTGGCAAATCCCCTTGGTGTTTGCACTTGGCCGTATTAAATTAACACAGCACAGGGACTGGTGCATTGTGGGACAGTGCTGGTCACAAGGGGTGTGTGCGGTCTTTTAGGCTCATCAGTATTTTAAAGGGGTTTCCTTAGAAACCTCCCAGCAGTTCTAGTAGTAAATGTACAAGAGTGGGCCATCTCGGGCAGGATTCAAAGAATTGCCTGGGCTTAGGAGGCCTTAGGTGTTGGGGCGCAGCCATGACCAGGGTGCCCTGAGGCCCGCCCTGCTCAGACCTGATGCAGCCACACACCCGGTTGGTCCCGAGGCCACGTGAAGAGCACAGCGTGCTGAGCCTGCCGTAGATGCAGGTGGCGCGGCCACCAGATCTTGTTCTTGTACAGCTAACACGGCAGAAATGCCCCTCACCTGCACACGGTTTCTGCACAGTGGTGTGGGTGCTGCTGCTGACAGCGGATGGCCTGTCTGTGTTTGTCCAGGTTGATTCAGGAGGAAAAGGAGAGCACGGAGCAGCGGGCCGAGGAGATCGAAAGCCGAGTTGGCAGTGGGAGCCTGGACAACCTCGGTCGTTTCAGATCCATGAGCTCCATTCCATATCCTGCGTCCTCACTCGCGGGCTCCTCCCCTCCAAACAGCGGTCGGTCCACCCCTCGACGCATCCCGCACAGCCCCGCTCGGGAAGTGGACAGACTAGGCATCATGACTCTGGTAAGTGTTTGCCTATTCCCCGCTGCACTCCCCATCCAGCGAGTTCTGTCTCGGACACTGCACATGTGCTTTTTGTTTGACCCAGAAGAAAATCAGGTATTTTGCTTCGCATATGTTATGCTTGGAAGTCCAAGGTTTTGAAAACCAGCTGGTATGTCATCAGTCATTCGACAGCAGCACGGTGACAAATGAATTTTACTTCTCGGAGGACCAATTGGGCATGGCAGCTTCAAAGGGGAGTATTTCCGTTTTTTAGGAATGGACAGTTTAACAGAGTAAGTATAGGCAGCCTCGTAGCTCATAGAGACGTGTACCAAGGCCAAGGCCGTCTTCCTTTACATTAGGGTTGCCTAACTGGCGGGTACAGGGCCTGCCGTCAGAAAACAGCAACCAAGCAAGGCAGACCGGTCCTTGGGAGACCAGCAGCCATCCATGAAGAGCCGAGTGGCTTCCTAGGAAGCATCTGGAAATGCAGTGACCTATGGCCCTGGTGACAGAGCGATACCCTTGCTGACGCATCTGGTTTAGGTTTGCATGAGCACTGCCTCACATTGCACACTGACCGACAGCGTGCTGTGCAGCCGCACCACCGACCTTTCCTGTCCCACCCACACTCACTTTCAGCCACACTGCCCAGCTTCACCCTCAGCCACACTGTCCGCCAGCAGATAGCCACATCACCTCTGCATCATTCCGGTGGCATGTGACATACTCTCCGTAACTTACATCATTAGCTAATTAGCTAGTATTTTAAACTTTCTGACAATTTCACTTATGGTTTCATGTTTATTTTCTCTGAGAATTTATAAACAGGCTGGATATTTTCCCCTTGTGTGTAGTTCTGCATGCTGGCTGGCCTGTGTCTGCTGCATTTGGTTTTGATCTCCTGCATCATCCTTTTGTTTGTTTAATCACCATTCATCTAGGCCTCAGTTCCCCTGTCCCCCATCCCCCCGTAGTCTATTCCTCCCTCCCTTCCCCTCTCCCTGGCTGCAATACCTCCACCACATGCCCAAGTGACAGCAGCCATGTGGTCCATGGGGAGTGACAGTTCACGCTCAGCTCATTGGTGACTTTATGCTTTTTCTTCATTTTTCATTGAATAGTGTTTTTCCCCGCAATGATGATATATTTTAGATGAGGATATAGGCATGATATAGATGGATCAGAGTGGTTTTACTCAAAACTATAGGATGTGTGTAATTCGTAAGTGAAATGTTACCTCTACAAATGTGAAGAAATAATCCACTAAGTGTAGGATTAATGGAATCTTGACACAAACAGTATACCTTCTGGTTGTGATGCTGTATTCAAGACCATCAATAGCATCAACTTACTGAACATGCACAGTTAATACTTTTAACAGACTACTTTTCTAATTTAAAGATCATGAATTACAGAATGTGAAGATTCCACCTACTTATTCTAGCTTTTATTCTTACAGATTTTCAGGGGGTTCCCTGCTTTAGTCAATAAAACTTTTTTTTGAGCATTTTAAATTAAATTCTAGGCAAGGATTTTACATTAACATCCAACAGGTGATTAACTCCAAGTAGATTTGTTCAGTTTTATAACAGGTATTAGACTGATCATTTGAAGTGTAACTTGTTCTTCATTAAGAAAAATGGAAGAATAGAGAAGTTTGGCTTAGAATAGACAACTATTGTTACATAGATTGCATTATTTTAATTAATCTTATATGTTGTAATAGAATTTTATTTCCTTGAGTAACAATTTGTGGTATTTCTCTAGTAAATTTTGAATAACTTATATTTAAATTTTTGGTGAAAAATGTTCTATTTCCAGTTACTTTTTTTTTCTAAATCTTAGCTCACTTATATTTGTCCTGTCATTCTTTTTTAAATGTATTTGCCTGTATATACTGATGGTTGGATTTTTAACATCAAAGTGTGCAGTAAACCTGGTTTTTCTTCCTTTCTTTGCATGCATCTGTCAGCCTAGTGATTTAAGGAAACATCGTAGAAAGGTAAATTTTCGTGATGTAACGTGCCTTTGTTTCTCTGTGAAGAGTGTCTGTCACTGTATATACATGCGCACCGAGGGCAGGTAATGACACTGTTAGAAATAGGTCCTTGGTGGTTCCACAGAACCCATGATGGGCATAAGCGTTGGCCTTCCTCCCACCTGGTTGCCTTTCAGTCGCTGCTTTCATGTTTATAACAAACGTGGTGTTTGACTATTAAAGCAGAAACATGGATCTTAGGTCTGAGAAAAACCAGTTTTAATCATCACAGCTGGCAGCAGTTAGTAAGCTCTTACTATATGCCAGGCTCTGTGCTCCATGCTTACGAGTCTGTCATCTGATCCGCACACACACCCTGGGAGACATGGGTTACTGTTGTTAGCCCCATTTTACAGACTTGGGAACTGAGGCTTGGAGAGGTGTCACGCACTGTGCCCACAGTCGCACAGTCAGGAAACAGTGCAGTACGATCTGTCAGGTTTCAAAGCCTGGACACTTGGCCACGTCGCCCTCCAGCCTCCCTTTTCCCAGATGCTCTCGGCTCCCTTGCAGCATCCCTGCCAGGGGGGTCAGGGCCTCTTCTCCATATAGATGACCATGAATTGGGTCTTCCTGTTCTCAGAGGATGGAACCAAATGACTTCCTCGTGATTGTCACGCTGTGCACCAGTCTGTACCCCTCCCAAACCTGTGTGCTCACGCACTCGGACAGCCCTTCAGGTGGTCAGTGGTGTGAGCCTTCCCTTGTGCAGAGTAGCCTGGCGATTTAGGGACCTCGTGTGGTGACATTCCAGCTCTGTCGCTGCATGGTGTGTGGCCTGGCTGTGCTCCTCACCCTCTTAGTGCCCGGCTCTGCTCTCCTGTGAAATAAAGACAGTGACAGAAAGCGTGCTCTTGGGAGGCCATGGGCTGTGCGTGTCTGCGCACAGGCCACAGTTGGTGAAGAGCTTACACTAGTGACAGGCACAGAGCACACCTCCCGTCCTGCTGGCTCATACTTCACTTTTCTTGCTAGCAAGGCTTTCACTGAAGGAAGTGGTGTGCTGATCTGTCTCCGGGCAGGACAGCCTGATGGGAACTTGGGCTCACTGACGGGCTCCTTTGTATTCAAGACTGTCAATGTCACCCTAACTGGTTTGGCTCAGTGGATAGAGCGTCGGCCTGCGGACTCAAGGGTCCCAGGTTCGATTCCAGTCAAGGGCATGTACCTTGGTTGCGGGCACATACCCAGTGGGGAGTGTGCAGGAGGCAGCTGATCGATGTTTCTCTCTCATCGATGTTTCTAACTTTCTATTCCTGCCCCTTCCTCTCTGTAAAAAATCAATAAAATATATGAGAAAAAAAAAAGACTGTCGATGTCATCAACTTACCAAACATGCAGTACCTAAAGAATAGAGAAGTTTGGCTTAGAATAGACAACTATTAGGACTCTTTGATACATAGATTGCATTATTTTAATTAATCTTATAGGTTGTAATAGAATTTTATTTCCCTGAATAATCGTAGTGTTTCTCTAGTAAATTTTGAATAATTTACTTTTTTTTTTTATTATTATGATTTCAGAGAGGAAGTGAGAGGGAGAGAGAGAGAGAGAGAAGCATCAATGGTGAGAGAGAATCATTGATCGGCTGCCTCCTGCACACCCTCTACTGGGGATCGAGCCCACAACCTATGCATGTGCCCTTGACCGGAATCAAACCTGGGACCCTTCTGTCCACAGGCTGATGCTCTATCCACTGAGCCAAACCAGCCAGGGCTGAATAACTTAAAAATTTTTGGTGAAAAAATGTTCTATTTCCAGTTATTTTTTTTCTTCTAAATCTTAGCTCACTTATATTTGTCCTGTCATGACTGCCCTGGGGTGGTTGTGAGGATGCAACCAGGTGTGTGTGCGGAGTGCCTGGCGCCATGCAGATGCGGCCGATGGGTATGCAATGGCGCCTTTTTACTCCCCAGTGTCCTTGGATATGCCCAGACTATTTCCCAGCTCCACGGAGCCTCCCCTTGTCAAGTCTGAAATGGCACGTAGACTCTAGTCCAGCATGGGGAGCACCTTCCAGTAGGAGCACAGAGGGAGAGGGCCGGCCAGGCCACGTGGGGTGAGCCGGGAGATGTCCTTAGCAACGGGCTCATGTCAACTGGGCTTTGAACGAGGGGCGGCCTTTGCTTGGGCAGTTGCTGGTCTTCATGGAGTTTACAGTCAGTTCAGCCACAAGGGTCGCTCCCCATCCTGTTTTTTGTTGTTGGGTTTTCACAAATCATTCTTTTAACCTGCATCTGAGATCTACCCCTAAGTTTCACAGTGATAGGTTTAGCCATTGTAGCCTGTGGTCTGATGGTTGGGAATGAGGAGAGGATGCAGAATTGTCCAGCTGTTGCTGATGGTTATGTCTTGAATGAGCTTAGCTCTGTTCTGCACTAATTCACTTGGTCATCACCGAGCCTCTGGGATGCAGTGGATCGATATTTTGTACACAGTATCATTTTTAAAAAGGCGTACGTTGGCTGCTAAAGTCTCTTTGTGCACACAAGTGCTTGCGAGGCGCAGTTCGTGATGTCCAGCCCTGCCCTAACCATGAAACTCAAATATGTACATGAGTCCTGAGGGTCCATCCGCTCCCCATGCTGTTGCCATCACCCTGCTTCCCATACTCACATCCTGGCACACCTAGAATCTTCAAGACCACGGAGACTATCTTTTAGTGAAAACTTAGGATTATTTCCTCTAAGCCAGAGTGAACACATTGTTTTTCAACCGCATATAATGTTTCAGTTATGACACCCAATCTAAACATTATTGAGAAACACGGGCCAGACACACGTGTGGGGGTGGAGGAGTTGGTTACCTTCTCACTTGTTTAACTGTTTGTTACAGACTCCAGTAATTTGAATCATTATTTGAAATGGTACTGGGTCATGGTACAAGCTGTTTCTTTTTCTTCCTTCTAAACAAAAAGGTCTGGATAGTTTTGCCCAAAAGGGTTCTGCCCTTGCTGGCATTTCTTTTGAAGGGCACCGGATCCACACATTCTCCCCGCTCCCCGCTGGGGAGAGCGAATGCCGCCTGGTCCGTGGTGATGTGGTCCAGGTCTCTGCCATCCCATCAGTGGCTGTCCCCATGGTGTCCTAGGACTCTAGGCTGCGTGGAGGCTCGGGAACAGGAGTGTCCCTGTGTCCCGCCAGGGCCCACATTCACCCGAGTGCAGCAGCTGGGGACTGGGGCCAGGCTCTGAGCTGTGCGCTTGGTGGTCCGCAGCCCTGTGTCTTTGTGAACAAGACCTGCCTTTAAAATGGCATTAGCCCGAGACCGCTTTGTACTCGGACAAAAGCAGAGCCAGTAGATTTTCAAATAAGTGTATGATTGTAATTTAAAGCCTGTGTGATTTTTTATTTTTTTGGTCAAGTCTGTTGTTAACTAAGTTTACACTTCTCTCCACCCCTCAGTTGCCAGCTTCCCGAGAAGAGGTACGAGATGACAAGACAACGATAAAATGTGAAACATCCCCCCCTCCCTCCCCGAGGTCCCTGCGCTTGGACAGGCTGCACAAAGGAGCCCTGCACACGGTCAGCCACGAAGACATCCGGGACCTCAGGAAGTAAGGAGGCACAGTCTATAGGAAGTAAGGGGAGGGGCGGAGCCAGTCACCATGGAAACATACTTGTCTGAATTTTCAGCATTAAGCTATTTTTTTTTAAGAAAGACCATTCTCCTTCCCTCTATTTTTTTTAATGTCTTTTTTTTTTTTTTTTTTTTTTTTTTTTAAATATTTTTATTGATTTCAGAGAGGAAGGGAGAGGGGAAGAGAGAGAGAAATTTCAATGATGAGAGAGAATCATTGATCAGCTGCCTCCTGCATGCCCCCCACTGGGAATCAAGCGTGCGACCCGGGCATGTCCCTTGACTGGGAATCGAACCGTGACCTCCTGATTCATAGGTTGATAGTCAACCATTGAGCCACACCAGCCAGTCAAGCTATTGATTTTGTTTTGTTAATTCTCACCCAAGGATATTTTTCCATTGTTTGTATGTTTGTTTGCTTTAGAGAGAGTGGAAGGGAGGGAGGGAAGGGGAGAGCGAGAGAAACATGGATGTGAGAGAGACACATCGATTGGTCGCACATGCACCCAGATTGGGTGGGGGACAAACCTGCAGGCCAAGGCTCTGACCACTTGACAACACTGGCCAAGGCTCTTGATCTTTCCTTGTTTAAAAAAGTCAGAACAATGTTTTTAAAGAAAAACTGGCTAATTCAGTAGCGTTTATTGAAATGGTGTACTCAGCATGCCCTGGAGCTGCGGTGATGCCACGGGTGCAGGCGTGGTTGGTAGAGGCAGTGCGGGAAGACAGACTTAGGCCAGACCCACCATTTTAGGAAAACCTCATTTCTTCAGACTCCACAAATCAACTGGTTTGAGAACAAACGTTCTATTCTTGTGGGAGCGTTTGCTCCGCACATGGCATGTTTCTGGTGGTCACCCCTGTAAAGCAGTCGGTGGCTTTCAGGGGCCCCTGTACCTTTGAGCTGCGGGACTTCACTTGTCCTTCCTGCTCCCGGGCGTCTGCCCTCAGGAGCCCAGTGAGACAGCCCTGCAGCTGGTTACTCTTGCTCTTTCCACGGCCAGGACAGTTGCACTCGGGGAGGCTGAGGGAGCTGCAGAGAGTGGGGACTGCCGTGTCACTAGCTGAGAGGTGACCTGGGTGGGGCCGGTCATGCCCTCTGGAGCCCCGCCTTCCTTGGAAGGAGTCTCCCAGGCCCAGAAGAACCTCGGCCTCCCAGAAACAGGTCTCTGTCGGGAGACACGGGAGCCCAAGCTTCCTGGTATGTGTGTTCTGTGAAGTAGGTGTCGCAGAAGAGACGGAGATGTTTGTGGTGAAGTTTGAGAGCGGGTATTAAAAACATGGAGAGTTCTGGTTCCTGTGACAAGGGCACTTGTTAAAGATCATTTTCTGTCCCCAAAGCTCGACAGGCTCACAGGATGGCCCGGTGAGCAACCCCAGCAGCAGTAACAGTAGCCAGGACTCGCTCCACAAAGCCCCCAAGAAGAAGGGCATCAAGTCCTCCATCGGCCGCTTGTTTGGCAAGAAGGAAAAGATGCGCCCTGGGCACATTGGCAAGGAGGCGCTGGGACAAGGTCGGTGTGCTCAGCAAACCGCCAGCCGTGAGGGTAGGGTCTGCCGGGTGTGCCTGCTGTGTGCCCCATCCACCCTGCGTGGGGTCTGCCTTACCAGCTGGGTGTTCTCCTGGGGCCTAGGCCAGGGACAGGTACATTTTCTCCGTGCGTACCTACAAACCAGAGAGCCACGGTAACATGTCTTTGCCCGAATAGCAGCTTCTTGTGGAAGTAAGCGGTTTCCTTCTCTGGGCATCTGTGTGACGTCATAAGCAGCCTATAGAGTTTTTCACTCTACCTGCTCACACTGTCCACCTGTTGATGAAACCATCTAAGGTGCCCATATTGATCTCCTCTCTTTCAACCACTCTGCTTCCTCGTAGCTGGCATTTCAGAGACAGAAAACGCATCTCAAGATGCCTTGGGACTTAGCAAATTGGGAGGACAGGCTGAGAAAAATCGCAAACTTCAGAAAAAGTAAGTGTTTTATTGTCCAACTTACTGAATAGTTTTTTTATTGTGCCTGATTTTTACCTAATGTTTATTTATTAAATGTGTCCTTCATTCTGCAAGGAGACGATGCTGTAGAGATGGAGGAGTCAGTCAGCATTTCCTCCTCCAGGCATTCTTTGTAGTTTGTAGCAATCCAGCAATAAGTGGGCGATGTGGGAGATTAAAGGAGTGATGGGCATGCACTCTTACACTTCGGAGCAGTTACGGAGAGAATGCTGTCCACGTATTTTATGTATGTGTATAGTAGGGACTCTGATTTTGAGTGTCTTGTTATTTGCAGGCACGAGCTGCTCGAGGAAGCACGGAGACAAGGTCTACCTTTTGCACAATGGGACGGGCCCACTGTGGTCGTGTGGCTGGAGGTACGCCGCCTCCTCCTCGGGGGTGAGGGTGTTAACGGGTGAGCGTGTGATTCCCATCAGACTCTAAGCCTAACGCGGCCTTGACACTTCCTGTCTCTAGCTCTGGGTGGGGATGCCGGCCTGGTATGTGGCCGCGTGCCGAGCCAACGTGAAGAGCGGGGCCATCATGTCGGCCCTGTCGGACACGGAGATCCAGCGGGAGATTGGCATCAGCAACCCTCTGCACCGGCTGAAGCTGCGGCTGGCCATCCAGGAGATCATGTCCCTGACCAGCCCGTCGGCCCCACCCACGTCCAGGACGGTACGTGTCCGTCCCCTGCTTCCTTAGAAATACACTCACGGTTCCAGTTTAAGATTTTAGCATTCAGAAACACTACAGCTTCTTATGTGACAGTTGGTGGTTAAAACACACTTTATGAAAAGCTTTTACAGCAGCTTTGCCATTGTAATACAGAAGGAGTTTGAAATGTAGAAAAGTGGTGATCACATTTACATAGAAATTTATGAAAAGTGAAGGGAAAACTTAGATCCCCAGTTGCATGATAACTTGTGTTTCTCTACCGATGTATTCGGCCTGCGGGTGCTGCTCACTGGGGGCTGGAGCCCCTGGGAGCGCGGGTGTAGGCAGTCCTGACCCAGCAGGTGCGCCAGCATGGTCTGTTCAGTTTCCCCCACGGGGAGACCTTGAACATCCTTCAAAGCGTGCTGGTTGAAAAGTTAAAAACATACCTCAGGGGCACATGCTCAGTAACAGGGTCCAGGCAGCTCTGGCATTGGCTCCGGGCCTCTCTGCTCTGAGTCTGCTCTGGAGAGAAGACCTGGTCAGGCCCCTCAGAGCCACATAGACACTCGTCTGAGTGGAGGCCAAGGCCCGATTTGGACGCATAGCCGCTCCTCACAGTGAGTCAAGAACGCGTGTGTTGGTTTTGTTTCGTAGGGAAGGCAGGTGAACAGCGCCCCTGTCTCAGCTGCTGCCCAGATGCTCTTGTCCTGTGGGCTTGTCCCAGTTCACCTCAGTGGCCTTTCTAGAAAGGAAGGGGCCAGTGGTTCCCCAGTGTTTCATAAACTCCTGACAAAGACAGCTCCTGAGTGGGCAGTGAGAGCACACCTCCCTTGGGGGAGCCTTCCCTGCACCTCAAGACCAGGGCAGCTGTTCCCTGAGGATCCCGGGGCTAGGGCCTGTTCCTAGGCCAGCTGAGGGGAGGGAGCCATTCTGTGGACACAGCCCTGCTCCCAGCCTCCTGGTGCCCCCACACGAGGTTGTCCAGGTGGGAGGCCACTCTCAGCGGGCCCCTGCCGAGGACCGTCTTCCCATAACGGAAGCCTGCTTTTGTGCTGTCGGTCAGACTGCGCTCAATCTGTTGAATCGACAGTCAGTCACAGCTCTCAGGAGTACGACCTGTTTCCTCTGTGCCTGTCACGAACCTCAGGTGGTAAGCGTGGCAGGTACACCTGGAAGGCGTGGGCTGCTCTCCTGCTGTTGACAGCACAGTGTCAGTGAGGTGTGGCTACTCTGTAAACGGGGAGAGCTGGTGGTAACATGTACTTCCATGTGGACATCTAACATGAAGGTGAAAAGGACACCCTTTGCATCGCCTGCTCTTACGTGCCTGTGGCTTACATGTCTGCCACCTTTCCTTCTTGTCACTGCTCCCCTTATCCTGGATGGGTGTGGTCATGGGGTCACCCTAGACCACAGGAAATGTCTGGTTAACGCACGAAGAGATGGAGACGCTCACCGCCACGCCACGCACGGTCAGTCCCGCCCGGGCTCCTGTCCCTCAGGGCATCCCGTTCAGAGCAGGGACAAGGTGTCCTCCACATCATATTGTTCCCGATACATATTTCTTTTAGGTCTGGGTTAAATGTGTGCAATAGAATTCGTATTTTATCTTCTTTTAGATTTTTTTGGTCATGAACTTAAAGTTGGTAGACCAGCTCTGTTTAGAATAGATTGAATTTCTTTCTCTTGAGGGGAGACCTCAGTTTAGCCCCCACTGTGAGGGCCAGACCCGAGTTTCCTCCTCAGTGGGTGCGCTGGGCATGGACGCCTGCTCCTTGCATGCAAGAGGGCGTGTGGGTCGTGCATGCGTTCTGCATGATGCTTGTGCTGTTTGAGCTCTCCCTTGGTGAAGCTGCACTGCCCGCGTTCACTGTTTTGCGTTCCTAAGCTCACAGTACTAACCGTATGTGTATGTTCTCTTGCATCCCTAACCACGTAACATCAGGAGGATGAGGAGGGAAGCTGGGCTCAGGTTGGAGACTTTCTATAATCTATTCTTCACTATATGTACAGCAACAAAAAGAATTGGCGTATGAAAACTTGTAATTTACTTTTCTTGACATTTTTAACATCTTAATTTAATCATAATAATGTTAATGATTTGAAAGCATCAGTCAAAGCCAAGTATAGGATTCAAGAGTGCAGAGAGGATGTCTCATGGACAATTTTGAACATTTCTCAGCTTTCTCGTAGGGACACAGTGGTTCACTCTCATGAACATAGATCACTTTGCATGACGTGCGGCCTTTATGCAAAGTCCTGTGGACTCAGCAGCTCCTGAGATTAGATATTTCAGTCCCCAATAGGGTCACTGTAGTTATAAGATCTGCTGATGGGAAAACCCTTCTGATAAATTAACAACACAAGTAGGTTCAGAGGCTCACCTCTGAGTCTGTGTGGGTACTTTCTTACACTGTGTGAGCTAACTCACAGCTTTCCTCCTATGGAAACCTCATTTCAGCCTCTTCTCGCTTAGTGTACATCTGGATTTTCAACTTCCCGGTTCTTCAGCTCCAGCGAGCTTTGTCCCAGCTGGTTTGCAGCTGTGCTAGCAGTGGCTTCCCTCCTGAGTCCACCAGCACTGCCGTGTGCTGTGCATTTCAGCAGCACCTTAGAGCCGGGAGGTGTGGGCAGGCCTTTTCTCCCGAGGCCTCCTTAAAGGCATTGCGCACGGATCTGGAGATTGTGTATCTGAAAAACAATAATTTTAAATGAGAATTTTCCTAATTACAGTTGATGGTTGACACTCCTGTTTCTCCTATTGGTCCCCTTAAAATAAAGCCAGTTACATCAACTTCCTAAACAAAAGAGGGGAGCTTGAGCAGGATTCCCTGAGCTCCCCGCCCCCACCTACGGGCTGGCTGCTTCTCAGGTAAATGCCCTGTCAACCTTCACAGGGTCACTAGTGACCACTAGAATTAAAAAGGGTGCGTTTCATAGTTCCTTACATGTCACTGAACTTTATAGTGAGAAGCAGAGCTCTGCCATAGGAAATCCCTGCATCAGAGGCACGACGTATAAATTAAATAAGCTGAACACTTGCTCTTTGCTGTGGAAATGTAAGCAGGGCGAGCTGTGCTGATGACGCCAGAATTAGCCAGCATGCGGTCTTCGGCGTGAGCCAAGGCCACTGGGCTTTTAGATGAGAGGAAGGGGAGGCGGGTCCGGGTGCTGCCAAGCGCAGAAGTCGTTCGGTGCCCACCCCATGCCGCCCCACGGCGGCAGCTCTGCAGCTGGGAAAGTTCAAGGTGCCCATGGGCACTGGGGGAAGAACATGTCAAGATGCAGCCATTAGGCAGGCAGCATCAGTGTGTCCACCCGTGAGACTGCTGCTTCCAGACGCAGCAGGGGACAGGACGGCCCTGGGCCCTCCCAGCACCCCGTTCTACAGAGCTCAAAGGTCTGAATTGAATTTGTGATCATTCCAATGATGGGAAGACAGACCCTGTGCTGTGGCTGTCTCCTGTCGCCCACATTCTCTGACCAGGAGACCCTGCTGCGTGCGTTTCTCAGAAGCCCGTGATGGCGGCCCAGGAGATGTGGGTCTCCCTGGGATGAGCCGGTACTCCCAGGAGCTCACATCACTGACCAGGAGGAAGTAACTAGACTAGAGTGAGTAGATGAGAATAAGGAGGGTTCTGCTTCCATAGAATTTTCTGTTTAGAAGTTTCTTTGCATTTTGTGTCAATTTAAGAATTACATACTCAGCAAGCAAGAAAGCAGTACCAGATATCCATGCTCTAAGTGTCTGTGAGATGAAAGTGAGGCTTGAAAGACTGAGAAAAACATGATATTGTGACAGTGCCCAAAAAAGTCTTTATTTCTCACTCATGGTTGTTTAGAGCAAATAGTAAAACTTTTCTGTTAGAATTTGAGCATTCTTGTTGGAGTTGGAGTCATTCCTTTCAGCTTGGTTGGAATAAATAATAGCTTAGAGACCATATTTTCAAAACAACATGGTGGGAGGTAGAGTTGCTGTGTCCAGGGATCCGTGCAGCATCCTGTGGGTTAGTTTGGTCTTGGGCTGAAGAACCCCAGTGTCTCTCTCTGACGTGTGTCACATACTGCACACAATGTGCTCCTTTCTTCTCGGGACAAAGCTTGCACCTGTTCTGTTAGATTTACCCAAGGCGTCGTGGCGATTCATGGCATTGTGAATGGCATTTCTAAAATTTCCGTTTCCAGTTCGTTTCTAGTGTTTGGAAATACAGTTCATTTTCATATCTTTACCTTGTATCCTGCAACTTGACTGGACTCTTTAGTTGTAACGACTGTCTTGTAGATTCATTTCTGGGCTTGTTAGGTCTCCTACCAATAAAGATGTTCTCTTCTCACCAGTTACATGCTTGATTGTCACAGTGGCTAGGAGCTGCCACACAGCTTTGCATAACGTCTTTACTCTGTCCTGACCAGGGGAGGAGCGTGTAGTCTTCCCCGTGGAGGGGTGTCAGCGCTGTGTGTTTGGTAGAGGCCCTTCATCAGATCGAGGCGGGTTCCTCCACTCTGAGAACGCTGAGACTCCCCTAAAGGAATGGTGAATTTTGTCAAATGCCTCCCCTCATCTTTCAGATGTGGTTTTTCTTTTCAGTCCATTAATATGGTGAATTTCATTGATTTTCAAATGTTGGCCCAAATTTAAGTTCTCGAGAAAAACCCCACTTGTCCTATTTCATGACTTAATATATTACTGATTTGCTGTGCTAATGTTTTACATGGAGTTTTGCATCTGTGTCTCTGAGGGATATTGGTCTGTAGTTTTCTTGTAATACATTCATTTGTCTGGGTTCAATGTCAGGACAATGCTGGCCTCGTAGAATGAGTTAGGCATTTCTTCTTCACTTTTTTGAAATTGTCTATAGAATTCCTCTTTTTTCATAAATGTTAGGTAGGATTCACCTGTGAAGCCATTTAGGACAGAGATTTTGGTTGTGAAAAGGTTTGTAACTACAAAAAAGTTCTAATAGATAGAGGTCATACACTTCTTACTCAGTGGCTTTCATAGATTGTCTGAGTTGCTTAAAGTTATTCACAATTTTCCCTTATTCTTTCAATGTCTATAGGATATGAACCTTTATCCCCTTTCATTCTTAATATTGGTAATGTCTTTTGTTTTGTTTTGTTTTAGTACTCTGGTGAAGGGTCCAGTGGTTCTCAACCTTCCTAATGCCGCGGCCCTTTAATACAGTTCCTCATGTTGTGGTGACCCCCAACCATAAAATTATTTTCGTTGCTACTTCATAACTGTAATTTTGCTACTGTTGTGAATCATAATGTAAATATCTGATATGCAGGCTGTATTTTCAGGGGTCGCGGATAGACAATTTTATTGATAGTTATGAAGAAACAGATTTTAGTTTTATTTTATTTTTAATTATTTTTCTGGTTTCTGTTTCATTGGTTTCTGCTCTTTTTCTTTTCTTCGTTCTGCTTCATTTCCTTCCTTCTGATTTCATTTGTTCTTTTCAAGGTTTTTCAGGTAGAATCTTAGATTATTGATTTGTGACCTTTCCTCAATTATATCATAAGTATTTATACTATTAATTTCCCTCAAGGCACTGCTTTAGCTGTGTCCCATACTTTTTGAATATATTGTGTTTTCACTCATTCAGTTTAATACATTTTCTCATTCCTCTTATGATTTCTTCTTTGACACATGGGTTATTAGAAGTATGCTGCTTTCCAAATATTCAGGAGTTTTCATTTACCTTTTTATTATCGATTTCTAATTTAATTCTTTTGAGGTCAGAGCACATTTTATGATTTCATTCTCTGTGTGTAAATTGAGCTCTGTCTGTCGTGAAGAATGCTCCATATGCCCTTGTAGCTGTGGAGTGCGCTGTGACATGCCCATTAGGTCGGGGGCTTGGTACTGGAGGCATCCACGGCCTGAGGTAGAGGGTGATGAACTGAGAGTGGGCCTGTGTGTGTGTCTATTTTTCCTTTCAGACCCATCAGCTCTTTTATCTATTCTTTTAAAACAATTTTATTCACTTTTCTAACTGATTTTGAAATTAACAGGTTTTAAGAAAATTTAGGAAGCAAAGTATTAAAATTAAAGCCAGTGGAGATTACTTAATGAGTACAGGTGGGTAGGTCCTTCAAACTTGTTCATGAGTCATGGTCATTCTTTGGTTTTATGTTATTACACATAAAACGTATTCCAGAAAGATAACATGTAGTCAGTTACAGTTCTGTTGTAGTTCCGTAAATAGATTCAATTTATAAACACAAATGAGTCATAGATTTTTATTAGTATAATTCCTTTTGTATAAAGTTTTACTAACATTTTAAGGTAGTTAACAGGAGAGCAAATGGTTTTGAAATTATAAAGGAGAATGATGTACTTAGTGTTCAGCCTTTGGGAATGTCATAGACTGAACATCCCGTGTAAAGATTATTGAAACTGTTCTTGTGACCTCTTTCCTGGTTTTTTCTGAACTGATTGTACTCAATTATTGAAAGCAGACGCTGGCGTACGGGGACATGAACCACGAGTGGATCGGCAACGAGTGGCTGCCCAGCCTGGGCCTCCCGCAGTACCGCAGCTACTTCATGGAGTGCCTGGTGGACGCGCGCATGCTGGACCACCTGACCAAGAAGGACCTGCGGGGGCAGCTGAAGATGGTCGACAGCTTCCACAGGCACGTCGTTGCCAGAGTGCTTATTGCTTGGCTGACTCGTGACTGTTGCCATTTCTTTCTTTTTTATTTATTTATAATTTTTATTATTTTTTTTTAATAAATAGAAACAGTTTCCAGTGCGGAATTATGTGCCTGCGAAGGTTAAATTATGACCGAAAAGAACTGGAAAGGAAAAGAGAAGAAAGCCAGAATGAAGTAAAAGGCTAGTACCTCATGTCTAATTGATTTAGCATGTCTCTGCTTCCCATATTTAAAAAAATCAGGAAAGGCTCTGAGTGGGGAAGATGAGCCTGGAGTCATCACAGAGAGGGTGAGAGAAGAGGGCTTTTCAAGGTCTCGCTGCGGCCGGAGAAGCTTGTGCATCCTTAGTCTGTGGTTGGGTGCATCGAGGTGTGCGTTCTCCCTCTGACTCAGCCTTTCCTGTTGGGGGGACATAGGTACCTTCCCACTACTTTCAGGACCACTGAGCAGGGTGGGCAAGAGCCCGCTCTTCACTCACCTGATGGAGGTGTGAATGCTGCTCTGGCCACTGACTCAAGAACTTGAGCCACAGAACAGAGCAGGTGGTCCTGCTCCCAGGGCGGGGGGAACGGTGCGGGGCTACCATTCCAGCTGAGCCTGGAGGCTGGCATGGGAGCTTCCTATGGCAAGGAAGGCAAAGGCGTTTCTGATAGAAAACAGGTGGGGCCCGACTGGCGTGGCTCAGTGGTTGAGCGTCGACCTGTGAACCAGGAGGTCACAGTTTGATTCCCGGTTGGGGCACATGCCTGAGTTGTGGGCTTGAACCCCAGTGTGGGACGTGTCATCACTGATGTTTCAATCTCTCTCTCCCTCTCCCTTCCTCTCTGAAATCAATAAAAACATATTTAAAAAAAGAAAAAGAAAACAGGTAGGGAAGTGTGAGAAGATGCAGATGTTGGACCGGGAGACCAGAATGCTTTTCTTTGTGGGTTAATTTATTTAATCCTTCCCATGGCTCTGTAAATGCTGCTGTCCCCAACTCTCACTAAGAAAGAAATGGAAGATGAACGTGTTTTGGGGGTGATGGCCCATTGGAAGAATAGTCTAGTTGTGTTTGAGTTGATGTGACTCATGAGAACAACTGTAAGCCCGCGCTCACACTGTGTGTGTGTGTGTGTGTGTGTTGTCCTTTATCCAGAAAGGGGCTTTAGAAATTAAATGTGTAAATCTGTCTCGTCGTTTTTTCTATTCATTTTAAATCTTTTTACAATTGACAAAAGCTGTCTTTGAAAGCAGTGATGATCATCTGTATGTATTTTAGGTATTTTTAGAGCGAATTTAATAATTTATTGCTTTGCATAATGTAAGATCTTCTGCTGCCCCCCCCCCCCCCCCAAATTCCTAGTATCCTAGTATTCTGGAGAATATCTTTACGTTTCTCTCTTTTAAAAGTGGGACAAGAAAAATGGCTTCAGGATCATAAGCAGGAAGTTTGTGTTGAGTGAGCAAGGCATGCATGTTGGTGCCAACTCCTGTGATGGGAGGAACGTGTTTCAAGTATTCTCAAGTCTGTGTGTGAGTCGAGTTGGCACCTGGTGAGCACTCAGATTCCTGTCTGTCCTTTTGCTTCCGATCCCTGGTCAGTGAGTGGCTGGTGCACACTCAGCAGTGTTTCCTGGCCCATGGAGCTTTGGCTGAGGCAGGCACTGAAGGATCAGGGCCCATGCAGGAGCCCTGGTCCTGGGTTCGGGGGACACATGAGGCAGACGGCCTTCTGAAGTCACTTGCGTCCTGTTGTTCCCTGCAGATGTGCTTGTTTGGAGCAACGATCGCGTGATTCGCTGGGTCCTGTCTATTGGTCTAAAAGAATACGCAAACAACCTCCTGGAGAGCGGGGTGCACGGGGCACTCATGGCCTTAGATGAAACCTTCGATTTCAACGTGCTGGCCCTCCTACTGCAGATCCCCACGCAGAACACCCAGGTAACGCCCGCCCGGCCTCACTCAGTCCATGTCCCCTCGGCTCTCCTGACCAGGACCTTCAGCGAGTTACCTAAATGGAGACACAGCTTAAACCCTCCAGCAGCGCAGAAGCTCTTTCCCTACCTAACCCGGATGTGGCAGTTCAGATCAGCAAGGCTTGGTTCTTCATTATTTGTGTCCTCTTTCCATGTCCTGCTGCATGAGTCTTAACGATAAAATAATGGGAAGTTTTCATTCAGGTCCATATGCTCATGAAAGTCGCATCCATATCCAACCTTACGTGGAAGAGAAATACCTTCCATACCTTCCACGTGCCGGACGGACAGAGGGCGGTCGTTTCTGTGCGCTGCCGCCTGCCTGGTCCTTTCTGACTCGCGGGCTCATTTGAGAGCCAGGACATTCTTATTCCTCTGAGAGGATGCATGTGCTTTGCCAGGACTCCGCCTCCACCCATGGCGCTCCCCTGGCTGCACCACCCACACACCCTTCCCACTGCAGTTCCTAGAAGCCCGTCTGGGAACCCCACAGGAAAACCCTGATTTGGGTCACTGTCATGGCTCAAGGCAATCGGAGCTTTTTCAAAGGTTTTTTATTTATTTTGTTTTAATTTTTATCTTTATTGTCGAAAATATAGCGGCTGTCTCCCTTTCCCCCTCCCTCCCTTCAAAGGTTTTTAAACTGTTGGTTGAAAGAACAGCTGTGCTGTGCTGACCCCTCCCTCCCAAGTGAGATTGAAGTCGAGTGTTTTATCCTTTCAGGCTCGCACTGTCCTGGAGAGAGAGTTTAACAACCTCTTGGTCGTGGGCACCGACAGGCGGTTCAGTGAAGTAAGTTCCAGCCTAATGACTTCAGTAGACTCGTGGCGGGTAGGCTGTGTCTCTGCTAAGTGTGGCGATGTGTTTACTTTAAGTTAAGCTTTGTTCTTAAAACTTTAGGAACAAATGAGCTATTAAGAAACTAATATTTTCAGTAAGATAGGTTGTTTTTTGTTATTTAACTTTTGATAACCCTCAAAAATGTTCATAAAACATTGGTTGTAGCCTAGGAATGGAGTCTATAAGCTGTGTGTTGGGACCATTTGGGGGACTGTTTCGGAAGTACGTTAAACATAAAAAATGTTAATTTCTCCTTAAACCATGACTCACTGATTCCCGCACTGTTATTACTCTCGTCTTCGGGTCTGAAGGAAACTTGAGTTTGAAGCACTTGCTGGCTCCACCCCAGCATAAGGCAGAATCCTTACAGCTTGGTGGCTATTTTTAAGACAAAGAGACGTCCTCTTGCATAGTTAGGAAGTGATTTTTGCAAGATCAGAAGTGACTCGTGGTGGTGGAGGGGAGGAGCGTCACCCAGGCGGCCAGGACAGTGCAGATTTCTGCCCGTTAGGCCCCGGTGCCAGTGCTGCCCACCACCTCAGTCAGGTTCCCAGCCGGTCCCCGAGGCATGTGGGCGTCAGGAACGGGCGGGATGCATGTGAAGGAGAGTGTGGCCGCGAGTCCAGCCATCATTTCGAAGGGCTGAAAACCACTATTTCCTTGTCTTTATTTTACAGTCATTTTGTATTCTGTCCTTTACTTTCCAGGACGATGATAAGACCTTTAGGAGAGCACCTTCTTGGAGAAAAAAATTTAGACCAAAGGACGTTCGTGGCTTAGCTGCTGGATCAGCAGAGACTCTCCCTGCAAACTTCCGGGTCACCTCCTCCCTGTCCTCGCCCTCCGTGCCACCCAAGAAGATGCAGCTGGACGGTACGTGGACGCTTGGTGGCTGGAGTGTGGGTAGTGATGGAGCACGGCCTGTTTAATCTGTTACGAGGCATTTCAGTACTGTTGCATGCCCCGGCTTAAATGTTTTAGAATTAATCCTAACATCTGTTTATAAAAGTTTAACAATAGGAAATGTTTTATTTATGTTCGTGTCTGGTTGAATATTCATATTCTTCCAACGCATGATGCTAAGCACTGCGTGTCCTCCGTGTAGATGGACATCCATGTGTGTGAAGACGTGGGCATGACAGGCAGCACTAGAATGCTCTGTAGCAGCTGTGTGGTGGCTCTCAGCCCACAGCACTTACTCCCAGGACCTCTCTCCACACTGGGCAACGGCCAAGTCCACCTAACAGCAGTCTGCACCCTGGGAGGGCTCCTTTTCTGTTCTTCCCTGTCCCTGCTGGGACCCGTCCACGACACTACCTGTCACAGAAGGATGGAGACCTTGCGGGCCTGGGGAGTCATCCCCAGACGGGAGCCGGTCCTGCTGACTACGCTGCCCCTGCAGTCCTGGTCTCAAATCAGGCCTCGGACAGCCACTGTGCTCTGCCCGCTCGACAGCAGGCACTGCGCCTGCTTCCCCATCTGTGACATGGTCGTGCAGCGGTCCTCCTCATCGGCCTGATGCGATGGCCAGAGGAGTGATCCCCATAAAGCTCTCAGTGTGTGGCCGGCACAAGTCAGTATTCATGCTCCTGTGACAGGTGGCTCTTCTCGTTTCTGAAGTGGGGGCCCTAGGGAAGTTAGAAAGGGCACGATGTGGTTTTACTGTTTTTCATGTTACTAGCCCTTCCCATAAGTGGGTTTAGAAGTTTTGTCTCACTTGCCTATGTAAAAATCAGAGAAAAGTGCATTTATATAAATAAGGCCTTTGCTAAGCTGGACACTTTTAGTGAGGATGGCTTGTAGGGAACATTGTTATTATTTTTTATTTTGTCAGTAGGGAGAGAGAAACATAGATGTTAGGCACATCAATCTGGTGCCTTCCGTATGTGCCCTGACCAGGGATCGAGTCCATCACCTCTCGACGTGCGGGATGGCGCTCCAGCCAACCGAGCCGCGGGCCAGGCTGCAGGGCAGCCTTCCTGTTAGAAAGCGACGTCTCTCTAAGTAATATGCTTATCGGGGGAAGCCAGGAGCTTCTTAAACAGTCACATTTTTCTTTAAAGGAGCACGCAGATAATTTTCATAAGTTTTAATTTGGCCTTTGACTTATTAAACAGCCTGGGTGCTTTCTTATTTTCCTCATTACACCTTTTCCTTAATAACAGCAATATTGAGATTAGAGTTTAGATGAATTAAAACTATTTCTAGAAAAGATATAGGGAGCATGTTATATGGGAAGACGACTTTCTACCCTGTATGGTAACTAAGGCATAAACCTGATTAAATGGGCTGTTTTAATGGCTGTTGAAACGAGGGCGTGTAAGATGAATTGCAGCAGGTTTGCTGGCACTTGGAATTGGAAGGATTTATAAGCTTGTCCATTCTCTGCAGCAGCACCAGCTGTCTTAGCATCCTTCCTGGAACCTTAGCAGAATGTTACTAATGTGTTCCTGGTGGAAAACCAAAAATGTGTAATTGGGAACCTTGACTATTTGCTACATACTTTTGAACATTTCTTAGATTTGCAAGGAAGAACTGGGGCTTATCTCTTGGGCCATGCAGTGTGCTTCTTAACCAAAAAGTCCGTGGTGTGCACTGTTTCCCAGGGAAACTGACAGTGGCTTCAGGTCCTTCGATAAGTCATTGTCCTCTAGCCACCCCCCGAAACCACGCCCCTGGGCCCCTTCCTGCCCTGAGGCCTCCCTGGGGAGCAGCCCGTCCTTCGGCAGGCGGGACGGAGAGGGTGCTGGGAGGTGGGCATTGGACTCTGGCCTCCCCCCCCCAGTGGACTGGTAACAGCTCATTCACTGCTGGGCTTTCCCCGCCTCCTTACAGATGCAGCGTTTAGGGTGGAAAGGAAAATCCAGTTGCTCTCTTTTCTGGACGCTTAAGGAGAAAGTCATGACGTTAAGTAGGCGTGCACATAGATGTACGTGGTGAAATTGTCACCGATGCAGCGACGCTGTTTGGGGGTTAACTTGCAGTGACTGCAGGGCTGCTTGGGAGACGCAGACACTTAGGGGCACTGCAGTTGGTGACACGTAGATTCCTTGGCCCATCACGTCCCCCTCTGGAAGGCTCCCTGGGACCCTCATGGTCGCGGTGGCAGGTGTGCAAGCGTGTGTGCCAGTGCCCTCGTGTGACGCCCACACTAACTGCACGCTGTGTTTGCATGCTTCTTCCCGGGGCGTCGCGCAGGCAGTGTGTCAGGAGCGCAGAGGCTGGATTCCGCCACAGTCAGGACTTACTCCTGCTGACGCCTCCTGTGGTGAGTAGAGCAGCATCCTGCAGCCGGTGCTGAGGCGGCTCAGGCCTGGAGAGCCCACTCCAGGCCCTTAAACCTGGAGAGGCGCGGCCTCAGCGCCACGGAGGTGGCTTTGGTGCTGTGTGCTTGCCGTTGGCCACGGGAGCCAGCATGTCCCCATTCTTTAAGGGAGCAGTGTACTCCCGCTGTCTCTAAACCTAAGAAAGCTGGCTTCTTCTAAGTGTCTGCTAACGTCCTTTTCGGAGTGGGGAGGCAGAACACAGCAGAAAAGAGGAACCCGGCTCTTAGCTGGCGGTGGTTCAGAGTGCCAGGCACTGGTCCCTGCACACCGTGCGTGTGCCGGCGTGGCCCCAGGTCTTGGTGCTAGCTGGCTGTCACACACATTCCTGGTGACAAGCCCTAAAGAATTGTTTCATGACTCTATACCGTGCTGTGACACTTGCTGATAGCCTTTCAATGTAGAGACTGGTTTTAAAAACAGAATTGCATGGCCATCACCAAGATCAGTTCCTGAGGGACATACCCTTGCTGGGGGCGGGGGGCTGGGTGGGCAGCCCTTGTCACCACTCTGAGGGCTGGATGGAGGGGCTCTGTTCGGTTGTCATCTCTCAGCCGGATTATTTGATTGGTTTTGTCACTTTTTTTAATATACTTTTATTGATTTTATCTTTAAATATATTTTTATTGATTTTAGAGAGGAAGGGAGAGGGAGAGATTGAAACCTCAATGATGAGAGAGAACCACTGATTGGCTGCCTCCTGCACACCCTAATGGGGATTGAGCCACAACCCAGGCATGTGCCCTGACCAGGAATCAACCATGGCCTCCTGGTTCATAGGTCAGTGTTCAACCACTGAACCACACTGACCAGGCTGCTTTTATTGATTTTAGAGAGAGATCTGTGTGAGAGAGAAACATCAGTCACTGCCTCCTGCACGCCCCCTACTGGGGATCGAGCTTGAAACTGGGCAAATGCCCTGACTGGGGACCAAGTCGGCGGCCTTTTGGTGCACAGGACGACGCTCCATCAACTGAGCCACACTGATCGGGGCTTGTCATCTTTTTTTAAAATTCACAACTTTTAGACGTGTGCCAAAATAAAGTCAGTCAAGAAATTGTCTCATTGATACACGCAGTCCTTGGTGTTTTATCCAAATTCTTGAGCAGCTGGAATGCAGGCTGTGGGAAGGCGGGAGCCCGGGGGTGGGGCATGGAGGGCAGTGCCTCCCGTGGATGGTCTCAAGGCTGCCTTTCTGTTTCGTTTGCAGCTTACCCACACTACTTCTACAGGTGACTCTGCAGCCGTGAGCCCTGCAGAGACGGCCTTTTAGAACTCGATGGACTCTTCCGTCTGTCAATACTTGTTATATGGACCTGAGATATTTTATTACAGAGTTTTTAATCAGTGAAAATTTCACAAGTACCATAAAGAAAATATTTTAGAATCTAATGTTTCTTATATTTATGTAAACTTATGCCTTCATTTATACAGTTACTTACTTTTTCATGTGTTATCTGGGCTATAAATGTCCTATCAGACCAAGTCATGTCCCTATGTCTAATTTTAGTCTCTTCAACGAATGTACTGTAATGCTTGTATGTAAAAATCCTGTGAACAAATGTAGGGCTTTTGTAAATTATGCATTTACTGTAATTATCACTGTTTAATTTTTTGATAATAAGCCACAGCAAAGAAAAGACTTTCACTGGGTCCGTGAAGTTGGCCCGACACCGTGCGGTGGCCTCTCCGAGCTGCACAACAATCCCTGTGAAATAGGCAGGCGTTTCCAGCAGTCCCTGTTGGAGTTGAATGACTGACCTTGCTATACTTTTCCTAGCAAGAAATGCTTCCTTCTGCTGCGAGAATATGCCTGGGTTAGACATTTGGACTGAAAGGACGAATCAGAACACTACGAACTCCTGGGCCCGGCTCAGTGCTTTGTAGCCTCGTCTCTGTGGACTGGAGACGTCTTCGGTGACGGCCAGAGCCGTGAGCTGGGGACAGCTCTCTGCTGGACAAGAAAAAGCAGGTGGGGAGCCTCCGGCTCTGCCCCGGGAAGGCACCGGCACCCCCACACGAGGACCAATCACGGCGGCCACACGCACATCGCAGAGACGTGGGTGCAGAGATGACGCACGGGCTCCTGAGAATAATGCTGCGCAACTAATAAAGGCCTTATTTTTCTTACTTAGAACATCGTTTTACATTTGTTTGTAAACTTGTTTAAAGAATGGACCCAGTCGTGCATTTTTTAGGTTTGATGATGTAGCCATTTTGGACGGTCTGAGTAGCCAGGGGCCCTTTTTTAATGGCACGTGGCACAGCCAGCAGGGGCTGCGTGCGGATCACGGTGCATTATTTATTCTGCAGCCGCTGCGGAGACAGAAGATGGCGTGTCCCGACATTCGCTCTCGGCTCCAAGCGACTTGGACAGTTGGCTGTGGCCCTTCTGTTTTTCTAGTAACCCTTTGTGAACGTCCCTATTATGTAACAGTATGTACAGTCCACTTTGGAACTCTTTTTATCACAGTGTTATTTATTGCTTTCTTTCAATAAAGCATTTCCCACTGCCAGTGGGCGTGGGTGGCCTGCCCTGTGCGCCTCAGCTCTGGGCCTTGTCCTCCCTTGGAAAACTATGACGGAAGCCAGTGGGGAGGCTCAGGAGTCATCCGAAGGGGGGCCAGGCGGTCCCTGCCCTTGCCCTGGAGGCCGAGATGACCTCGCCCGTCCTCAGGGGAACCAGTACTGGGAGGACCAGGGCACAGGGGACTGAAGCAGAGTGGAAATGTGGGCTCGTGTCAACAGTCCGCAGGCCCAGACCCGAACAGACAAAGCCCCGGCCCAAAGGGCAGAGCCTGGCCCAGCCCCGAACAGCTGGAGCCAGTCCCAAAGGGCAGTAAGTACCTGGGGCCGCAGAGCTTGTGCTCCGTTAAGGAATGTTTTCCTTCATTGATTCCTTATAGGAGTCGAGAGACAGGCTCCACTCTCCCAGAGCTGAGCTGAGCGTAGCCCCAAAGAGCCCAGCCTAGCTCCCAAGAGCCCGGCGCAGCCCTGAAGTGCCCGGCGCAGCCCTGAGCACGCTCTGCTCCTCCAGCAGCCCCAGGGAGCCAGCCTGTGTCGGAGCGATTTGCACAGGCGCATCCCCCTCGACAGTCAGTGGCCCTCTCAACCTCCGGCTAAGGCCCACTGGGCTCACTTAGGGGTCCTTTCCTGGAAGGCAGTCTTGAGGAGACCAGGGCTTCCCCATGGCCCGGTCAATTTGATGGTCATGGACTCTGGACTCTTAAAGGGATCTGATCCTTTTGAACAGCGGTCACCAACCAGCGGTCCGCAGACCACTGTGGTCCGCGACTGCTGCTTTTGAATGTTGCACGGCCCTAGAAATAATCCCTTCTGAGGAAAGGATTTTTGCTCCTGATTACAGGAACACTATGGAAGGTTTGAAACTGTGTGTTTATTAAGCCGGGTAAAGCTGGTGTACACAGAAATCAAACCAATCCACAGCAGCTGCTGCTCTCGGACAGGCCCATGATGGGAAGTCAGAAGAAATGGGGGGGGAGGGGTTTGGAATGAATGCTCAGACCATTCAGACTCACGGTAGGTTGTCACTGCCAACACAAGCACACAGCCTGTGATGTGTCAATGTACTGCATGACATCACTAAAGACTGATCTAGCCCTGGCCAGTTTGGCTCAGTGGACAGAGCGCCGGCCTGTGGACCAAAGGGTCCCGGGTTCGATTCCAGCCAAGGGCACGAACCTTGGTTGCAGGCTCCTCCCCGTCCTGGGCCCTGGTCGGGGCTCGTGCAGGAGGCAACCAATGTGTTTCTCTCATCGCTGTTTCTGTCTTTCCCTCTCCCACTCTCTAAAAGGTCAATGGAAAAACATTCTCAGGCAAGGATTAACCAAAAACAAAAAGACTGATGCTTGCCTCAAGTCTAGCCTAGCCTTGGAGCCTCGGAGAGACGAACCAAGCTAGGAAAAGCCAGCCAAGTCCCAGAGAGCCAACCCAGCACTGAAGAGCCGAGCCTTCTACCCAAGGGCCAAGCCTCGTCCCCAAGACCGAGCCTAGCCCAAAGGGACAACCTGCCCTCAGAGCCCCGCCTAGTCCCGAAGGGCCTCGCCTGCTCACCAACAGCAGAGCCGGTCCTGAAGGGCAGAGCCTAGCCCTAACCCTACCTCAACTCTCTCATGTTGGAGGATGTTTTCTCCCGTCCCCATCGACGGGACCCACTCCATCCCAGCACGTTTTAACTCCATCTCACCCTCCCCTGAGAAATGTTGCTGAAAAGGAAGGAAGGAGGGGTGGAGAGAGAGGCACAAATCCGCCTCCCCGGCTCCTGGTCTCACCACGGGAGCCCAATTCAAACACTGGACAGTGGGGACCAGCCCCTCCAGTTGGGTAAGTTACTGGGCAGTCAGGCTCCGCACACTCCCATCCCTGCCTCACATCCGCCCTTCGGTTTCACTGTCCAGCTCTGGAAGGTTCCCTCCAAGGCCGTCTCCACTGTCCGTCTCGTCTGTCTCTGCCTCTCTGTACCTATCTCTCAATTTCCGTGTGTGTGTGTGTGTGTGTGTGTGTGTGTGTGTGTGTCTACCTCTCTCTGTCCCTCTCACTGTGTCTGTCTGTCCCTTCTCTCTCTGTCTCCATCTCTGTCACTGTCTCTCCCTCCCTCTCCCTGTTTCTATCTGTGTCTCTCTTTACCTCTCTCTGTCTCTGCCTCCGTCTGTCTCTCTGACTCTCCCCCGAGGGTTCTCTGTCTGGAGTTGGTGCCCATGTGTCTCTCCCCACTGGCTATGGTAGCTCTGTGCTCAGGGCCGGGTCTCTCCCTTGCCGGCCACAGAGGCAGGCTCAGCCCTCCTGCCGCCCCCTTTTCAGTGCCTCAGCCCAAGTCCACAGTGTGTCCGGGCAGCGAGTTGTCCCAGAACAGCCCCAGCACCGTGACTCCCTCGGTGACCCCGGCCGTGCGGCCCGCTGGGGCTCTGGGCCAGCAGAGGGCGCCATCTGGAAGGCGGCCAGTTACCAGCAGCTCAGCCACCAACAGGAAGCTGTTTCCTCTGCTGAGCACGTGTGCATCTGTGGAAACTCACACAATATTCCTGAAAGGATGAGACTATGTCCCTGCACGTGCCAAGCTGTTCCTCTACCTTCATTCCTCGGGCGTAACTGGGCGTCCCCGGCTCAGCATCTGGGATGCAGCAGGAGCACAGGGGGCCAACCCTGCAACCCTGGGGCTGTTGTGATAGTGTACATGCATGTGTGCACCTGTGTGATTGTGCACCTGTGAGACTGTGGGCATGTGTGCATGTCTAAGTGTGCACATGTATGAGTGTGTGCATGTGTGTGCATGCACGTGAGTGCACAGGTCTGAGAATGTGTGCGCATGCACGTGTGTGTATGCACCTGTGTGCCTACATTTGAGAGTGTACGGACAAGTGAGTGTACATATGTGGTGTATGTACAGACACAGGTATGTGGTGTGGGTGTGTAGCTGTCTGTGGTTGTGGGGTGTATCTGTGGGTACATGTGTGCAGGTATTGTGGGTGTGGGTGTGTGTGTGCGCACACGTGTACGTGTGGGTTTTGTGTATCTCAAACCTAGCCTAGGAGGGACTTCTCTGGTTTCCAAGGAGAGTCGGGAGCCTGGTGGGTGACGCCTATGAGGGGGTGCCGGGCGTCCCAGTCCAGGGGCATAAGGGAATCCAAGCCCCCTAACAAAATACGTGTGTCTGTGTTCCCTCACCCGCACGCTGGCCCCAAACTGCCGGAGGTAAACGTCCTCCCGGAGGATCGGCTCTGCACCCCCAGCCTGGGGACACGAATTCCAAGTACCGACAGAAAAACACCTCCCCACACGGACGCTCGGATTTGAAGGGTATAGGAGTCCCAACTATCACCGAGACAGAGACAGAACAAGGAAAACTCAGACGCACAGCGAGAGGCTGGGGCGTGGGGCTCAGGGACAAAACCCTCTGGAAACAGGAAGCACAGACCAGATGCCGGGGGGGATGCAGCTACCAGCACCCCAGAGAGGAGCTGGGGTTCCAGTTCCCACTGAGAACCTTGTAGGTGTGGGTGGCGGGAGGACGTGACAGACACGAGACCAGCACAGAGAAGAAAGCAGCCACCAGACAGACAGAAGACAGCTGTGCTATTATAAATATGTACAGACACACGTAAATAAAACAGAATTAAGATGGAAAAAGGGGAAGATTTTACATTGACAAAAGGTAGCATCCTCCAAAAGACACACAGTGTGGGTCGCACAGCTAAACCCTCACCGGAAACCACCTTAACAGACCCGGCGTGTCGTGACGGCGCTCTCAGACACCGACGAAGCGGGAGGAAAACGAGACACGGGTGCCGGACAGGGTCACCCCGGTGGCCAGGTAGACCCTGTTTAGGGCCACCAGGCAGTCCCCGCGAGCTCCCTGCACGGAGCGCAGCCGTGCCCCGTACAGCGCAGCAATGTGTCCGGTCGGTTCCCAGGACACTTAAAACTTCCTAAACTTTCTGGTGAAAGAGGAAACGACATCTTAGACCACAGGCTGCTGAGTCCTCTCAGCATAGCCTCCAGGCTTTTGGGGGGGAAAGAGGGAGGGCAAAAACAAGGGAGTTGCCCGGCCGCAGGGAATTAAAGCACAGAAGCGCTCAATAAAACCCAAAGCCAGGTTTTGAGAAAGAAATGAAAGCAATTATGATAAATGAAAAAGACAAAGGGAAAGAGGCTTTAAAAGTTAAAGAGAACCTGGTGTAGTACTGATACCTGTAAATTGGTATCAGTACTCGATGAAACTGATAATCTTCTAAGGCAGTGGTTCTCAACCGTGGCTGCACATTAGAATCACCTGGGAGTCTTTTTAAAATCCTGATCTCTGGGCCTCATCCTCCAGAAATTCTGTTTCTTTGTTATGAGGTGGGACCACATCATTAGTAACAAAGAAACAGAATTTCCGGAGGATGAGGCCCAGAGACCAGGATTTTAAAAAGACTCCCAGGTGATTCTAATGTGCAGCCACGGTTGAGAACCACTGTTCTAAGGCATACAGGATAAATGGGCTTGTTTACCCCCAGGTATTTTGGGGCACTTCCTACGAGCCAGGCCCTGATGTAGGTGCTGGCATTTCAGCTGGGGATTGACAGACAGACAGGAACCCCTGCCCTCGGGGTTCTAATAGGACCCATGAGAGGCAGAAAACTGGAACAACCAGGAAGGCATGCAAGGTGCCGTAAGCCCGCCAATGACACCTGGGAACCCACAGAGCAACCTCCGTGCATCACCGAGGACCACGCAGGGCCCCTCTGCACTGTTTTTTCTAGGCCCTGAGCCAGGCGAGAGCTGCCCATAGCCTGGGAGCAGAGCCCGGCACGGCCAGCCTCCCCCTGCAGCCCCCGCATCCACACCCTCGGTCACACACAGTCCCCGTCACACACTCACACTCACACTCACACACGTAAAGACATCCTGTAAATGCAGAGACAACCTCAGGGCAGCAGCATACAGAAGGGAGAGGCAAACACCTGGTTTCCCAGTTCACTTTAGTGACACAAACCACCCACGAAGCAGGGGATGCTGAAATGGCCGACAGCCG